TTTTACTCGGAGCCGGAGCCGGAGCCGGAGCCGCCATGACATTTCACCCGGAGCCGGAGTCGGAGCCGGAGCCGATTTTTTTCTCCGGAGCCGGAGCCGGAGCCGGAGCCGTCTGAAATTTCCACGGCTCCGCATCCCTGGTCATTATATTTTCAGGGTACGTTTAAAATTGATAAACGCGAGGGTAGGTACTGGAAGTTTCGTCGCGACCGGCCGCTTTTTACGCGAGTTATCTGCGAAAAACCGAGGGGTGGGGGTCTGTTCGACCCTCCCCATACGGGCGAGGGTTTCCTCGCCCGCCAGTGTCCTGACTTAACCCGCATCCCGCCGGGCTATTCAGCCATACGCACCCTGCTAAGGGGGATACATACCTATTCTCTCTCCCCTCCCAGTTCCGAACCGATGGTCGTAAAAAGACAGGGAGAGCGGCAATAGAAAGCTCTCAACAAGACAGACCTTTAAAACAATTTATTTCTTCGCTTGAGCAGGTCAGAGGTCATGTCAAGGACAGGTCAAGGTCAACTTTCTACATTACCGGTTTTGGAGCGCAGTTGGCGAAGAATGGACGAGATCGAGTATCCAAAACGTGTTCTTAGGCTACCAAGACCGGATTCGTTCATGCAATGCCATGCAAAGGTCAAGGTCAAGGTCAATGTCAGGTCAGGTCACCAAAAGTGAAATATAGAATAGGACATATTCGACACATGTTTTATGGGTGACAGTCACAGAAGAATCACGCACACGCTTTTCGTTACGTCCTAATTTCATTAAAAAATGAGAATGTTAGAGGCGTTTGAAATTTTGCGGTTTTTGAAGCGAAAATGGCGTGAGACGACTGTCTCCGACGTCACTAAATGCAATTTCGGAAACATTTCCCCACGGATTTCGCTTAAATTTTCAGGCAACATCTCAAATTCATCAATTGATGTATAAGGTACCTATTGAAAGTTTGACATCGCTGGCTTACCACGTTTAAAAGTTACTGGCGAAAAACGGGAGAGGCAGTCTTTATCATCTCAGAGGGACCAGGGTGCTTTTCTGAATTTGGGGTTCCAAATCAGTTCCAAATAATGTTGAACTCAATGGGCAGTTCCAATTGCAGTTCCAAATCAGCCCCTTATGGTTCCAAATGCATTGCCGCCCACGTTAACATTTGGAACAATTTGGGACGCATTTGGAACTGCAATTGGAACTGCCCATTGAGTTCAGCATTATTTGGTTTCCCAGTGTCGCCGGCCGGCCGCCAGGTGCGTTAGCGCCGACTGCGGGCGACGACTCCGGGCGGACGGGGCGCTGATAACGTAGCTACGTAGTTATTATAATGACGGAACATAAAATATTTATCCTATATCTCCACACACAGTTATCGTATAGATCTGTTCATGGGTTCAATCGATGACGCTTTCCACACGCTACGTTGCTATGCAACGTTTATGCTGGGATATAATCGTAAAATGAAGTTTATACTGGTGTTCGAAGCCGTTTGTTTATCATATTATTTCGTAGTTTACTACGTTAACTGTTGTTTTTTCTTAATCAGCCCTATCTATCGGTTTCCTACGGCTTGTATCATCGTGACCCTCGCACCTGGTTCCCGGTATGATGTCGACCTCATGACGGCGAGGTCACGGGTCCGATATGACCTCACGTTACCCTTAGGAGAAATCCGACAATCATAAAACAAGCCTGTGTGTTGCTAAGCTACTAACCTCAAACGACACATACCACGCCAGGGCGCGCTTCAGTCGGGTGAAAGGCAATCTACCGAAGCATTATAGAAGCACTCGTTCTTGATTAAAAACACAGCCGCGTAACATTCTTCCCTGATCAAAATACAGTCACCATGGGACGCCCATTGGTCCAGCGAAACAGTTGCACTAAAAAAAAAAAAAAAAACTCCCTGATTAACATACTGCCACGGTGGGCGCTGGTTGATCCAGCGAAACAGTTCAGGCTTCAGCTACAGCCGAATGGAACCATTTTTATTCATTAAAACATGATCAAGACAAAAACAGGTTTGATAAAAATTGATAAAAACAGGCAGCGATAACTGTCCAACCGACCGAACAACAAACGACCGCTCATTCGCGCTTTGCGAATCCCGCTCTCTTCGCCTCCACGAAGTTCGTCCATTGCCCAATCACTGTTGGCGCTGTTGCCGTTACTGCCTTAACAGTTTGTTGCAGCGCTGCTCAACTGGGGCAGAACACGCGCCCCCCGTACCGCGCGTGGGCGCCATCAGAAGGTTCGCCGCACTGGCGGCACTTGTACGAGCATGCCGGGCACGCCGTCGCCGCCGGGCACGGACCGAGCGCGTCGTCGCCGCGGCAATGGATTGTTTGAGCACAGTAGCTGCTTGCGGCGGCGTCAGGCCCTGGGCCTCCGCCTCCGCCCGGGCCTCCTTCAGGCGCCGGAAGTAGGTGGTGCGCGACACTCGACAGGCGCTTGCCACCCTCCCCCTGCGTCTGTAAGGTCGCAGACGATCCCTACTACTGCGGAGGCGGGAGGCGGCGGGGACTGCAGCAGTGGCCACCACACCGGCTGCTGGTAGGGCTGCGGCGGCCGCCAGCCCGGCTGCTGCTGCTCCTACGGCGGGGCCCCGGATGCAACCATCTCGGGTGCTGAGGTGGCGGCGGCTTTTCGTGTCAGAAGCCATGACAGGGACTGTCCTTGTTGGGCTTGAGAGCCCTCGATTATTATATACTTGTGTCATATTTGTATTATTTGTCAATAAATGTTGAGAAAAGAGGTGGCGGCGGCTGCTGAGGCGGCCAGCCTCGCAGCTGCGGAGGAGACCAGGCAGCAATGGCCGGCGGCTGCTACGGGACTGCGACTGTCGGCGGGACCGGCGGCGGGTTCGCCGCGGCAGGCCTTCGAACTTTAGCGGTTTGCGATCCGCCGGCTCCAGCCACCCCCACCGCTCCCGGATCCGGTCTGCCTGCGTGTTGGCCAACGCTAGGCGGCTCGAAGCCAGAACTTAACAAACGAAACTAAACAAACTTAACTAGTCAGTAAGCGCGACGCCTCTCACCCGTGTGCGCCGCCGGAGGCCGGTAGGCGGGGAAGAGCGGCTGCAAGCCGACCAGGCCGGCCAGCTCGGTAAGCCGGCGCTGCAGTCCGGTGCCGTGCAGGCGAAGACCGGGCAACTGCTGCTGGGGCTGAAGAGCCGCCACTGCCCTGTCCGCATGCCACCTCGGACGGCCCTCGACCAGGTAGGCCTGGAAGTGGACGGCGCTAGCCGAGGAGCCTACAACGAGCAGAAAAGAACCACACCGTCAATTCATAATCCGCGCGCCTCTACCTGCCAGTCATACCATACCAACGCTGATAAGTTCGCACTCAGCTTACACGATTATAACTATCATCTATTTATATTTTTTATAACTAGCATCAGTTATTTCTAGCAAAGTAAACCGCAAGTTAGCGATTAATAAGATGTCAACCGACATAGGGGCCAGTCGCTGCAAAATAAACATTAGAAATCATATAGGTACGACCAGGGATGCGGAGCCGGAGCCGGAGTCGGAGCCGGAGCCGCCGGAGCCGGCATATTTTGCCCGGAGCCGGAGCCGGAGCCGGAGCCGTGAAACAATATAGCCCGGAGCCGGAGCCGGAGCCGGAGCCGCCAAAAAAGGGGCGACTCCGGCTCCTTTTTTATTTTTTGAAGAGGAAAAAAATAATTGACCTAGTACGGTTTGACAGTACAAGGCAGTAAAGCATATGATAAGTACGTCATGAGCCATCAAGTGAATGAAAAAAAGCCGAATATCCCCAGTATCCCACAGTACGCAATCAACTTTCTGTCTGCTCCTCCTCGCCCCCCCCCCCCCCACGTCTACTGCATCCCCAGAACATGAGGACCGGTCATCAGGTGACGGCCATTGTTTTGAAGCCAGTGCAGTGGACTGCGACTCCCAGCACCGTCTCTTCCCCACCCCCCACCCCCCACCCTCCCCCCATGCAGCCGAGAGGAATGTCAGCTTCAGTGAACTCCGATTCGCGGCGACTGCGTTTCCAATGCCATCGCTTCCTAGTCCTTTGTTCTGCCAGTTCTCTCCGAGGTGCGTTTGCGCGGGGACGCGGTGAGCCGGTCATGGCAAAGAGTAACGCGTATAACCAATCCAATTTTTCTTCCACCCGTATTTAATTGATTGCATAGGGGATGTACTGAGTCGGAGCCGGAGCCGCCGGAGCCGGAGCCGCCGGAGCCGGACCATTTTACTCGGAGCCGGAGCCGGAGCCGGAGCCGCCATGACATTTCACCCGGAGCCGGAGTCGGAGCCGGAGCCGATTTTTTTCTCCGGAGCCGGAGCCGGAGCCGGAGCCGTCTGAAATTTCCACGGCTCCGCATCCCTGGGTACGACCATTGCGGTTTCGAGCTAACTATTTCTATGTCTGACCTGGGATGAAGCGGCAGAGATGGAGATGAAAACTCTCCAGCGACGTGGTGCCGCGAGCGCAGCGGTAGATGTTCTACGCCGCCCAACTGGGAGCTGCCGATGCGACGGTACAGTGTGACGCCCTCGGGGTCCTGCAGACAAGGGAGGCGGCGCCGCTGCTCATCCCAGATGTCTCGCATCTCCTCCCACATTAGAGGTGCCCCCAGACTATCCGTCGCATCAGCGAGCTCCAGTAGGAGCGTTTCCAGTAGGTCGGCTGTGCACAGGACGCCGGCGGTGCGCCGGCGCGGTAGTGGCGGGCCAGCTCCTTGGTTCCGATGGCCAGGCGGACGGCCTTGGCCGTCGGCTCCGTCACTCAGTCGGCCTGGATCTGTGCCCGCTTGGCCTGCTCTAGCAGCGCCAAGTCAGCAGTGTCTCACTAGAGGAGGCACGCTGAGAGGCGGCTCAGCAACGTGCCGTATGTACAGAGGGTGAGAGCCGCTCGTTACGCCAAAGGCGAAGCGCCGCATGTAATGCTAGGCGTCCAGGCGCACGACGAGCTGCGGCCAGGCTCAAACAGCTCCCATAGCCGCGAAGTGCCGCCCCCGCCGCAGCAGCAATTGATGTCGGTGTAGAGAGCTGCCGGGGGCGGCTGGCCGGCCGAGCGGAAATGCTCACCAGGTCGGTGGCCAGCGGCTCCAGGTCAACAAGTCCTTCGGAGATGGTGAGGACGGTGCCTTCAGCATCCCACCGCGTTCGCTGCCGACCGAGGTGGCCCATGTGGCGGAGCTAGCCGCCAATCCCGCCAGCTTCTTGGTGATCTACGGGAACAAACATACCATTTAGTAAATGGTACTCATATTACATAGTAAATGGTAGGTGCATACCACATTCATTGTGGTGATGCGGTCACTGTTATACCGGGCCGATATCTGACCTCACTTAGCTACACGCTCAGAGTATGACTAACAACGTAACATGAACGGGAATCTTTACATCACAACTAACAACATTATCAGCAATTTAATCATGAAGACAAGAATAAGAAGCTAGAGGTGCAGGTGCTCACCTTCTTGGTAGAGTCAATCTTTACGGCCAGACAGTCCACTGTCTGGCCGTAAGTGCTCGTGCAGGCCGCCTTCATCAGGGGCAGCCGCTGCCAGTTGTCCCGCAGGTGCATTGCCAAGTATCACGCGGGTCCGGGCGGGGCGGCAAAGTCTGGCGGCGGCTGGTACTGCACCGCCAGCTGCAGAAGACCTACAGAGCCGAGTCCAGAGTGAAAAAGAGCACCTGCTGTTAGACTACCACTGCCTGAGGCCTGTGGCCACCTCCGATGATTCGTACAGCGGATGAACTTTTGATTTATGAACACCGTAACTGTCCATGGGCAGCCGAAATCCATAAATCAACGCTCTTATAGGCGTATAGATCCCAAAAAAATAGCGAGACGAAATATGTTCTTAGTGTACTGGAGGTGCAACTTACTACTATACTTACTACTATGGTACTATAGTGTCGCCGGCAGTCGGCCAGGTACGCCTGCACCCGAAGGCAGTACTCAGAGTGCAGCCCGGCGATCGTTCGGCGGGGCGCGGTGCGGCTGTTGCCCAGGGTCCAGCCGAGCAGGAGCCCCGGCAGGACGGCTCGGTCGCAGGCGGACCGCTGGCTCGACACCACCGGATACCGGAGCCCCAGGACGGCTCGGTCGCAGGCAGACAGCTAGCTCGACACCACCGGGTACCGGCCGCGCCAGCTGCTCGACCAGCTGAGGGTCCGTACTGATGTAGGTCCCGCTGAACGCCGGGCAGTAGTGGTACTCTGCTGCTAGGAAGTAGAGGTCTCGGACGTTCGGGCACAGTCCGCAGAACGCTAGTGCACCACGGTCTTCAAGGCATTACCGCACCATAGGTGGCCGTCCACTGGTAAGGCGCGCATTTTGAGCGTAATCGTCCAGTGCCTAGTGCGCGCTGAAAAGAAAGAAGTATTTCAAGTCGTCAGGAGTGATGCAGCTCGTGACGAGACTCGCTCCGGATCACCCAAAATCAGCGTTAACTTTAAATGGACTTTAAAGTGGACAAAAAATGATCCAAAACAAAATACGGCCTAAAACAGTATGCTCACATTGTTCAAAATTAAATTTGGCTCACAAATAGGGCACATAAAAACAGGCGGAGAGCTCGGACCCTGCCGAGGCCAGTGTGCTACAGGTCAGCTGATACGCTGGCCCTACTGGCCGAGAAAGTCTTTTTACAAAAGGCGGCTGTGTGAGCCGACCTTTCCCCAAAAGGCCAGAGTGCAGAAAGGCAGCCGTGTACGCCGACCCTTCCCGGCCCAGACGACTCCCTTTTGCAGCTCTCCGTGTTACGGCCCTACACTCTATACAACACTCAAAAATCGAGCCACCCGGCCGGCTCCACTGCACCGAGACGACTGACTCTCTCCCGCCGTGACCCCGACACAGGTCAATTCGCCGGCGGGGAGATAATTCGCCGGCGAGTATCACGTGATACTCGCGCGACCACATCACCCCCCCCCCCCCCGGCCCGCACCGCGCGCGGCTCGGCCTGCCGGTACAAGTGTATCCCGCCCACACAGTGGGCTCGGAGAGGACACGCCGAACACAACAGTGCTTCATTGCTGTTGTGAATTCACTTCTCCCAACAAGGAGAAGTGAAGTAATGTTGAGCTGTCATCGCGAGATTCGGCGCCCAACAGCCGCCGAATATTCAGCTGATTGCCCTTCATCGCACATTCGGCGCTGAACCGCAATCGGCGCGCAGCCCATATACTCCACAGCATATATGGGCTGCGCGTATTTACATACAGCGCATATTTAACCCTAGAACGCCTAGGGGGGGGTTGTATCAACCCCCCCTGAGGTTTTTTTCGAAGTGCACGCTAAACGGCTTGTCGTAGCGGGCTGAAATTTTCAATACCCTCTGGGGCAACCTTTGCGCATCTTTTGCCGAAAACAATTGATCGGGTCATGTCAGGTCACGGAGTTATGACGTCATAAGAGGTACAGCCTCCGGCCGGATTTTCACAAACTGAGTGCCAACGCCCGAGGTTTCCTGCCGGTGGTACGGACATCGGTTGATGGATCGTGTTGAAACTTCCCATGCATGTTGGGGCAAGTATTGGCTATCATATGGTATAAGAAATTTGACCGGGTCAGGTCAGGTCACGGAGCTATGACGTCACAAGAGGAACAGCGTCCGGTACTATTTTTGAAAAGCGCCCGAACCACTATTTTGCTAATTCTTGTCACCTCAATGGGAATATGCAGCAATATTAGCTTCTATAGGGAGCAAATGGACCTCCCAAATCCAAAAATACAATCAGATTTCAAAAATTTAAATTTCGATTTTTCGAATTCCTGCCGCCGACTGTGACCTTGCCGACTTCCGGCGCTCCCAACGCGCCATTTTTAGAGCTAGGGAAACGAAATACATACCAAACGATAGAGAATTGATCAAGGAATACGATAGTGAAGGTTTCAAGTCGATATCTCCCACCGTTTTGCCGCAATCGCCGCCGAAAGTTGAAAAAAGTATATTTTTCCGAAAATTTTACCTTTGACCGGTCAAAAGTAGGTCAAATGTTGACCTAGGACCAAAAAATATACCACCAATCGCGAGATCTCGTTGAGAGCAATCCGTTGGTTTTTTCCGCTAAGCTCTACGACCTTCCGTTTCGAAACGCCAGGGGGGGGTCGTAACAACCCCCCCCCCTGGTCGTTCGTGTTATGAGAAATGGCCTGGTCGTGCGAGGGTTAACCCTCGCATGTGTGCGGCGTTTGCCAGCTTCTAATGTGTAGGGGGGGGGGGTCGGTTGGACCCCCCCTTGCCGTTTGGCCCCTGATCGAGCTAGAGCTTCGCGGAAAAAACGAGCGTGTTGCCCGTGACGAGAGGAAGCCGATGATACCCAATTTTAAGGTCCTAGGTCATTGGTTGACCTTCCAGGTCAGGTCAATGACCCAAAGTCGGGAAAATCGGGACCTGTTAGAAAGTCGTAAAGTGTGGCTGCTAAGGGTTTTTTTGGGGTGCTGATCACGAATATCGTGTTAGTTTTGATCACAGATGATGTCTTGAAGCATTTAGACCAGGTCGGGTCAGGTCAGGTCAGGTCAACCAGTAGGCGTCGTGACGGGTATTCGTAGTACGTGTCAACCGCCTCTGACAGCTTCGTAACATGTTACGAAGTCACCAAAACTACTTCGTAAATGTTCAAATGGTTGCTAAATTCGAATTCAGCTCCAAAAACTAGCCTAGAAACATGTAAAACTCGAAAAAGTGACCCGAGGTCACCCGAGGTCACCAAAGGTCAATGACCTGACCTCAGACCTGACCTTCAGGTGACCTTGACACACACGATAGTAACATCAAATCACATGTTTGAACGTTTGAAACCACGAAAAGCTTGCAAACACGCGGCTAGTGCGAGCCGACATACGCGAAATCGCGATTCCGGCCAAACATGGTCTCGGAAAAGAGGTCGCAGGTCAAAGGTCATTTGGGTCAGGGTCATGAAATTTTCAGGGTAGGTGTAAAATTGATCAATGCGAGGGTACTGAAAGTTTCGTCGCGATCGGCCGCTTTTTACGCGAGTTATTCGCGAAAAACCATGGGGGGTCCATCCGACCCCCCCCTACACATGCGAGGGTTAACCAGTGAACGGTAGCCTTTAGTGCTTTCCATGGGCTAGTCGGTTCCGGTCCAGCATTGTAATTAAAACACAGCAAAGCCGTAGTTACTCAAGGAACGTACCTGGCAGGAGTGCAGCGGAGACACTTCAGGTCGACCCTCCATATTCTGCCGGGCATCCAGAGTAGGGGGCGCCGGCAGAACTGAGCGCCAGGCATGGAGTAGGAGCCGGGCGGCGGCACGCCGGCAGTCGGCGGGTACTGCCACAGGTCCAGGCCGTCTCTCAGCCGCCCGTGGTCGTCGAACAGCCGGTGTGTCACCCACTGCTGATCAGCCGGCTCCAGCGTCTCCAGCCAGCCGTCAGGCAGGACACTGGCCGGTCCGGTGGGCCGGGAGTACGGCCCGACCCACAACCGACCTACTGCTCTAAAAGTTAAAACCGGTTGGTTCGGTCGGTTTCAGCTTTTCTCGAGTAGTGTAGGACATACCCCAGGATCTCAGATGCCATTTACTGCTACTGTTGCTGCCACGTCTCGGCACACAAGGCGGCGTTCGGGTTCGAAAATGCGTGTATTGTTAGGCTTTAGGCGTGCACCACACCTGTGACATTTTTGACCTAGTAAAAACAAAAAACAACCAGCAATCTGACTAGCCAAAACCACTCAGGTCAGTTACTTCGGCATTCGAGAGAAATAAACTATGATCTCACTGGTGTCACGAAACGCCGACAACACAACCACTGAGGAAGTAATATGCATACATTACATAAGTGGCAGAAGAATGTCAATCAACACGAACAAGACAATGATGACAGCATTCGCGAGACGAGAAACCAGAAATGAGTACCTACCTATAGCATTGCTAGGACAACCATGTGAATACTGGATTATTTGTAACAGCAATGAAACAAAATGAAACGTATTGTGAGTACGAAATAAGATGATGTCGGATAGATAAATGCACAACGCAAACCAGCTCCATGCTTCCAGCTATTATAAGCGTACTAGTCACTAGGGATGCAACAGTAGAGTTAAAACCAAGCAGACACCAAAAGGCAGTCCACAGACCCGATCAAGGTAAAGCATTCGTCTCCGGTTACAAAGAACCTCGCTGAAGTAGAATCCAACTCCTGCTTAAGCGCTCTGTGTTATGTGTCCTGCAATCGTCCTCACAACCCGGCACTGTCTCAGCTGACAGTTTAAATCTCACACTGGCAGACAGCGATATGACCGAAATGCCAGGACGAAGGACCCGCTCGATCTGCCAGTACCGTTCGACTCTCATACCAGTCGCTCTGATAGCAGCAGGACAGATAGATCGCACACAAAATCTCACAAGGTCACACACAGCGGACACTGGGGTGGCATCCACAGTCCAGTTCCTTAGTCCACGGTGGTTACAGAGTGGAAGGTGTCACTCTGTTGGTAGGGTTCTATGATGCGTCGACAGCCGGCCGGGGTTATTATGTGAAGGTGTCACTATATCACTAGTACACACCCTGTCGCCCATCACCGGTCCCCGGACCCACCATCAACCTTCCATGGGAGGTCCACCCTCGCACCTGTCCGGCAGGAGTCTCACAGAGCCTCCCAGACACACGTCAGGGCGGCGGGGTGACCTCTGAGGCATAGCCGTATTACCACTCCCACACAGTTATAAGCCACGGTCACAACGGCCACTTGACTGAATTCCCAGCCGGAGCTTGGATGAATCGAGTACCGCCACGGTGCCTTTCTCGGGTTTTATAATCAGGGTCCGAAGTCTCCTGTAGATCAGGACACCTCGTGTATCCCGAACATTGCGTGGGTGTCAGCTCGGCGATACCAAACTCCCGTAAACGACGGAAGGCTAGGCACTCGTCACCTGATTATATGCCGCTGAGCGGGACACCTTTTGCGCTCCTCACACCATATGCGCTCCTGTGGGCACACAGGACGACTGGACCCCGTACTACACTTATCCTCCGTTGTGGGTCACACTCAAAGCTCGTTCCCACCTACATGCAACTGTTCGCACGCAGGGCCTCTTGTCGCTCTTCCACAGGCTACATGCCGCTGTTAGCACGCAGGGCCTCTTCGCCGCCTTCTCACAGTCTACATGCCACTGTGGGCATCAGCCTCTGTGTCGGCTTGGCCGTAGAACTTCTTCTCGCCCATGAGAGCCTGGTAGTGTCGCCGCCCGTCCAGATACATCATCATCTCTGCGGAAGATAGACAGGGTCCGTAATAGAAGTAGGTACCCAACCAGGAACAATGTACAACTGAGCTACGGGGAGGTGTGCTGACTTGTAAAAATAACAGTATTGCAGTCATAGCTAATGGGTATTCTTAGTCGGCCGCTTTTTCGCCTCCTAATCTGCCTAGGCTTGTTTGAGCCATCGCTCGCTGGAAGAGAATAATTACGCCTTGGAAAAGGTGGGAAATTAAACGATTTCTAAGATGCGTGTAGAGCACAGGAGGCCCAACCCATTAGAAATACATAACAAGCACCGAGCACGACATCCTCTAACTGCTTATCTTATATGAGTTATAAGACACTAAACCAGAGCCGGCGCTAGAATACACACTACACAGCATCCAATAAAGTAACGTACACTGGATTTTAGCTCCAATACGCTACTGCAGTAACCATGGTGGAGCGGTACTCACAGCCGATTGTGGCGCCACCTCCACTGTACTAACAATCAACCTCGGTGCGGTGCCTCACCAACAGGCAGCAAATACATTTCCAATCAAAGGAATTTGACAGTTTCTGATTGAACACAAATGAAATAAACCCTGGTGGAATCCGACCAATGCCCACAAACGCCAGCGACCAACACCACACTGGCTTCAGGCGGCCCAACCACAGTGGCCAATGAGTGGTACTATGAGTACCGCGACTCTCCGCCAGGTGGTCAGAAGTAGAATAGCATAAAACGTTCTCACCGTTTTGTGAGTCGGTGACCTTCACCATCTATTTCTAACATGCGCCAGCTGCTGCCCGTGCCTGTTTGGTTCCAGAGCTCACCTACAGAGGGCGACAACCGTGAGCGTCGCCTACGATATTCAACCGTGTGATTTTAGCAATTTTTAAGAAATAGGGAATGATTTGTGAGTATGTTACAAGCTAGTCTGCTGGGTAAATGAACTACGGTATTAGTAAAACATTTTACAAACTATTTGCTGAACGGATAGTCAGCAAATTCCCAGGAAAAGCACTACACCGTACAATACTCGACAGTGCAGTGAATTATCAGTTCCGCACAAAACTAACATAACAAAATCCGTTGATCGTACCAGCTTCGGCTGTACATATACTAAAATTGGAACGATACAGAGAAGATTAGCATGGCCCTCGCGCAGAGATGACACGCAAAATCGTGAAGCGTTCCCAATTTTTAATTTATAAGGAAAAAAAAATGACAGACCGCAGCCACCTATCCCAACAAACTGGGGTACCTACTTTCATACCAAACAAACCATCACCGGTTGACTTTTGAGGCCCGCATAGACCTTTGCGAGCCTGGATAGAGGTGCGTTATCACGTTTTGGCGTGCACCAAGACCGAGCAGTCTCCACAGAGAAGCATGATCTATACAATGCTCAGTCTGTGCACCATAATCACAGTCCGTACGTAACGGAGACTAACCCAGAGTGCGCCCGTCCCTGCTGGCCGATCCCGGGAGTCTCCCGTTCCTCCCCGTACCTGACCAGCCCTCTCACCGTGGTAAGTCTGCGGCAGGATCGGCTTGACCGGCTCCTTGGTGGTGAACGTGAAGTAGAAGACGTTGGTGAGGTCCTTGGTGCCCAGCCGTGGGTCGACCACCTCGGCTGAGACGCACAGCTGCAGGTTGTTACCTTCCGTGTACACCACCTGAGGTAGGGGGCAGACTGCTAAAGGTGTGTCGTGCAGACCGATCGAGTCTCGGATACTGGAAACCAGTCACATGATGAACAGATGAGAGCAGTGCTGGAAATGAGGCCGCTTTCTGGTCCCGGCGTTTTATTCTCCGGGTGAGTTAGCCCCGTCTAGCGATTAGCCTTTCGGGACCCTCTCAGAGCCGCGGCTGTTTTCGCCGCTCGGCCCATTCGAGATGCAAAGTTGATAGTCGCACGAAGTTTATTTGGGCCTCTGAATATACGACTTCGAAATTAATCGATTCTACAAAACCTTTTCTTTCATCTATATGCATACATTGAACAGCAACTCCAGACTGGACTGGTTTGGCTGGCCCTAAACAAGCTTCGTGTGACTATTAACTTTGCATCTCGACTGGGGCGAGCGGCGAAAACAACCGCGACCCTGAGTGGGTCCCGAAAGGCTAAACGCTGGACGGGATTAACCCGCGAGGAGAATAAAACGCCGGGACCAGAAAGCGGCCTCATTTCCAGCACTGGATGAGAGCGGCAATAGCAAAGGGCAGTGTGATCAAACTGGAAATGCTATTGCAAAAACGACGAGCTACTTGACTCTTGAGATTGGTGACAATGGTTCAGTTATATTGCTTTTTATTATGAGAAACACTGTAAGAATACACCATCAGCTGAGGTGAACCGCAAGCTTTCCGCGGTGTTCAGCGTTGTTCGCGCCAATTAGCTACATTCAGCCGGAACTGGCCAGACCATTGAAGAGATGCCTTTCCGGAAACGTCACCGGCGACAGAAAACACTGAAAATGGATAATATCAGAGTACAGGGTACTCAGCATGGAAACTGGTACCTAGGCTCCAATGTTGGCTGCTGCTGATAATGTAACGCACATACTAAACACAAACTTAAATTGGCCAACGAGCAGCGTCGACATGATGACCTTATTGGCATAAGTAAGACATATGTCAAATCAATGAAATCATCAACCATGTGCAACCGAGCTGCGAGAACCGGGCACCAGCCGAACATGCAAAGTGCTCAGAAACAAGCAAGCACATAAATCAAAACCCAGACCGGTGATGCCACACATCCTGTGACGTCACACACCAACTCAGCGACAGAGTTGTGACGTCACTCGCTCACCCGAGAGAGGAGGTAGAGCAGAGAGCCGACGTCGACCGGCTTCCGGAACAGGATGTCGTCCACGTGGGTCAGACGCGGCCGGCTACCGCTGTGGTGGGCGCGGGGCGGGGGCGGGGGCGGGGGCGGCGCGGGTCAGTAGGCATTCGGTGTTCAGCGCGGACCGGCGGGGGCTCGGCGGTCTGCGTCAGGCCCGTCCACTACCTCTAGAGGCTCGGAGCCGACCATCCGTGGCGGTTTGAGTCTGTAACTACTTTATATCGGCAGCCCGACAGGGTCAGAGGACCGGACAGCAGGCGAGTCAGCGGGGAGCCAGAGCGCTGGGGGCTCATACAGCAGCAGGCGGCGCCCAGGTATACAGAACATGACTTTACATTAGCCTTTTAGCTTTGCAACGTGACCAGAGCGACAACCTATCAGGACGAGCGTTTAATAAAATACAATAGTTCACAATACTATTGCAAATTTCAAACGAAGAGTAACTATTAAAGACCTCATCAAACAGAATAACTGACACCCGCAACACGGAATGTTTGCACACATGTTGCACAATATTAACTGCTGCTGATTATACGTACGCCTAAGTACATCGTAGGTACTTCGAATCAATGGATTAGGCCGCCTAATCCATTGATTCGAAGTACCTACGATGTACTGCCCAAAATGTACGGCCCACCGCTAAAGTAATGTAGGGTTTTACCAATCTCAACGGTTGGCTTTGACTGGCGATTGTTTAATGCGGAGTGATCAAAAAGAAGATGTCAATAGCTAAAGTTGCAGCTGCAAGGGTGACGATACATATAACGATACATATTCAAAGTTTCATTGTAGTCTGGCTAATCGTTCCTAAGCTTCAGAAGCAGAACATACCCATGACTGAAACCCCACATTACTTCTGCTGTGGACTGTACAACGGCACCCAGCTACCAACGGCTGAAACATTATATACAACGGCCAACCAGGACCAACAGGCAGATGAGCATCACCGAGTCTGATAGAACCCCAAAGTACGGGAAAGCCGAAGGTGGAGAAAACTGGACAGCAGTATCAAGCATCAACACGTCAGCATGAAAGAATAAGTTATAAGTCACTGAGGCATAAAACTGTGTCAGTCACATGGTTACAATTACAGTTGGGGTGTCAAAATTAGCCTTATAAGAAATGTTTGCTAAAATGTTTTCAGTGGAATTAGTCACTGAGTGAAGGATGACCAATTGACCAAATGGATAACAAAATGGATGGATGACAGTGAAAAATCCATATTACGCTACAATATTTTAGAGTTAACGCTCTGACACTCTTCATTTCATAGGCGTAGGAACAGGGGGGGCCGGGGGGGCCATGGCCCCCCCACTTTCGGAGGTGGGGGGGCCAGCAATGTTAACTGGCCCCCCCACTTTTTGCTGACTTAAGTGTCTGTCTGTACCTAACCTACCACCCGGTAACTTGACACTATTCAGCTTGCCCTTTAATGAGGATTCCTTTTTGTTTCTTTCGGAGGTGGGGGGGGGGGGGGGCAGCAATGTTAACTGCCCCCCCCCCCTCACTTTTTGCTGACTTAAGTGTCTGTCTGTACCTAACCTACCACCCGGTAACTTGACACTATTCAGCTTGCCCTTTAATGAGGATTCCTTTTTGTTTCTACAGCGTTATTGACCGCAATTTCCTTCACTCAATGAAGGAAACCATATCAGAGACAAGACTGTGAGTCCTGGTGACAGCATTTTGTTGAATACGAGGCGCGGGACAGCGAGTACTAAAAAGGTATAGGCAATGCTAAGACAATACTAGCACGGTGCAGGAGAATGCGTATACAAACGACCAACGCTTGACCTTATCTGCTTGGGGTCGGCATAGTTCGGCATGGGCCCCATGGGCGTATGGGGCTCTGGCCCGTATTCGATTGTCACGAGACTCAAGAATCCCACGCTAGCTATTAACAGCTCCCAAACCAGTCTTTGAGGGTCCTACACTGATCTCGGAGGGCCCTTCAGTGGCGGTCAAGCGCCCACATTGACCGCTGAAAACCCACATTGACCTCATTTGAGGGCCCCTAAACCGGCCTCAAGAGCCCAGCCGGCGTCTGAGGGCCTCACACCGGCCTCTGGTGGCCTCATTTCTGTCTCTGGGGTCCCAAGACTAGCCTTTAGGTGCCTTTGAGGGCCCCGCACTGAATTCTGAAGACCCGATGCCGGCCTCTAAGGGTCCGCATCGGCCTATGAGGGTCCACCTTGGCCTGAGGGGTCCAACGCCGGCCCATGCCGGTCTTTTAGGGCCCCACACTGACCTCTAAGGACCCATGCTGACCTGTAAGGACCCACATTAGCCTCTGATGGCCCAAGTCGGCATCTGGTCTCATCCTGCCCTTTGCAGGCCCTGTACTGGTCTCTGAGGGCCTTAACCCTCGCCGGCCGGGGGGGGGGGGGGCGGGGCGGGTGCCGCCCCTCCATAGGTTTTTTTTTTCGCGATAGCTCCGAACACGCCGGCGATAGAGAGCTGAAGCTTGGCATACCTGACCTTTGAATCAAACGGGATCTTTTGACACCAACCGCATTTTCGGGTCAGATCTGACCCATGTGGTCATAAGTGAACCTCTGCACGGTCTTCACATGTCGCAACTTCGCAACGCCCTCACTGCCAGAGGAGATTTCACAGGGAAATGAACCTTGGAGGACCTAGTATCCAATAGGAGTCTCTCAACTTGTATAATGTATATCTCGGATTTTTCCTAAAGTTCATATGAGGTGAGGTCATTTTCGTGACCTCACCATTAGGTATAAGTCAATGGGGATAAACTGAAAACTTTTTCTGGCGCCGGGAACGATCGATCTCCAACTATCTCAAGCACACCGAATCGTGATTTCATGCACTCCTTGCAAGGTTCGATGCGTCACTTTTGCAATGTTGACCTTGCGCGACGTCATTTATGAAGTTATAAGGGTCTTATTAGTTTTTCGTCAATAACTAGGTACCGATCAAATTGAGCTAGCGAGTCGGGAAAGCCACCTATGGACTCAAGAAGACCTGCCGAATCGAATGATATGCGACATGACCTCCTTCGACCAATTTCGTGACCTGGGGACGCCGACCTGACCGTGACCCGAGGTCAACACCCTAAGTTTACCTCACCCAAACAAAAAGTATACCATTCGACGCGCCTGAGAGAGGCGAACACGATGCTGGCAAAATCGCGGCTCTGCGGCCATTTTTTGCGAAGTTATTCACCAAAAACGGAACCGTGCCTTGAGGCACTTGACCTGACCTCAGAGGTCACCGGTTTTGTTTGTTTTGTTGGGTTAGGCCCTTTCGGTCCAATGAGACCATTTCAGAGCCGGAAGAATGATAGGATATAGGGGGAGACATTGGTCTGGGCAGGCACCCTAGTGAGTCGCCGGGGCTGAGCCCGTCCAGAGGACAGGCCACCCAGCCCCAAGGCACTCACTGCACCCGGCTACGGGGTGCGCTCCCTCGGGAGCAGCGGTGCCGCTCCAAGGGAGCAGCCCGCATGAGATAAAGTTGCCTGTCCAGCCCGGAGGGGTTGCGGTGTGGAGGAGAAGGATTTCAGTATCCTGAGGATAGAAGCACGGAACGGTGTCAGAGGTCACCGGTTGACCTAGGACCATAAAATCGGGTATCGATCTCTGCGTCCCGTAACGGCGCACACGCTCGTTTTACCGCGACGCGCTAGCTCCACCTGGGGCGAAACGGCGAGGGGGGTCGTACCCGCCCCCCGCCCCCTCGGCCAGCGCGTATGTAGAAAACCTATAGGACCGGGCCGTGGAGGGTTAAACTGGCCTCTGAAGGCCCAGACCGTCTAAAAGTCTCACACCGGCCTCTAATAAGTGATAGTCAATCAGCCCAGTTGCAGTGGTCGCTGATATAAAACCTCTTAAAAACGTTATAGGCCTGGCTGAGCCTAGCTGGGCCGTTCATGTTGATTTTTATAGGTATATTGAAAAGACTCGCTTTGCACGTTTCACGCTTGCTCGTAATGAAAAAGTTGCTGGATGCCTCTGGAATTTGCATGGGTGCCAACGGCTGCGGAGGACAGGGGAACGCGTCCATCAGTTTGAGTTTATGGACGGGAGACTCCCTGAAATTTCAACCAATTTTTTTCTTTTTTGTCTCGATTTTTTTTACCTCTGAGCATGTTTGCGAAAACAAAGTGGCCAAAATCCGAGGAGAAATCGGATTTTGGGGGTAGGTTAGGTTTTGGACCTCTGGGACCCTGGCCCCCCCACTTTCGAAAACGTTCCTACGCCTATGCTTCATTTGATATCATGGTTATGGGACATGGAACCATTGCAAATTTCTTTTTTAAAAATTGATCAAACCAAATTTCAATTCGAATAGAATGATATTCAACTTTAGTGTGGCGTGCATTAGAATACAACAGTAAAACTGATAAATGAAAGTGTCGTCTATTGCAACATTCAGCAAAGCTGTGGCTACTGGTCCCATTAAGATGTGTTCCCCTTTAAAAGCGCAGGAACGTCGAGAGACAACAGCCACACAGTAGGTAAGTACGCCCGAAAACATCACCCAAAAATACCGGCCTGTCTTTACCTTCAATCTACGAGCACCAGCATTCGATAGCATCTTGATACGGGATCACACATTGGTTTCCAAATTAGATTACCAGCAATTTCGAGCCGAAACTACCACACCAAATGTATTAATAATAAGCGCGATATACCGTCTGAACTCTGAAGACTACTAAACAGTCTGTACGGAGTAGCACGAAAAGGCTCCGCCCTTCACTGACCTACTGCAGTTGATGATGGCGTTAGCGTAGGCGAGCTCCAGCGCCTGTCTCATCAGATAACCGCCGAAGATTTTACCGTACACGTTCCGGTTCTGGGTGGGCGCCGCCAGGTCAGGTCAGAGGTCAGGTCAGAGGTACAGGCCACCTGCCGCCCCAAGCCGCCACCGTCGAGTTCGGAAAGTCTACGAGCGGCCACGACCGAAGGTGAACGACGACAGACGGCCGCCAGAGAGTTCCGCCTTGGATAACAAAGCGAAAAATGTGCAGACTTTACAGCATAAGAAAACCAGTACATTCGGTCGCATCCGTTCTGTGCCACATAAACGAACAGAAGCTCGAATTTACCCGAGACTGGTCGACTTCAGCTGTGATAATGTGCACAAAATGTGAACATTCCATCGTCGTTCACCTTCGACGAGCCGCTATCATATTTTTCAGCCTCCGTCGGCCACGGTATAAATGGCAAATGCTCAATGTAAGTGAAGCCCCCGGAAGCGTACCGCAGCGAAAGATTCGCGGTTTTCTCATATCGCAGTGTTAGTAGAAAGCAGATACAGGTAGACGTCTGAGAGCTAAAAGCAAAGCAGCAACGTTTGTGCATGAGCGGGTTGTGATAAGCGGGTGGTGGATCATGCATCAGACAGACACGGAGCAATCTTGCTGTGTAAACACGCCGCGACGGTGTGACTGTATCGTCCCACACAGTGTTTACAGAACATGACAGCGTGCAGATCATGCAGAGGCAGCTGACACAACCCGTGCCAGTGATGGTATCTCAATCTGAGGTCTGAGGTCTGGGCCGAGTCAGGTTCAGGGACCTCGGGAGATGACTGGGAGTAACTGTCGACTGCTGAGAGCTTCTCCTGACGGCTGAGAGGTGGTCTTCCTGAACGTTTGGACAAATTAATTAAGAGTTATTGTGGGGTTAATGGGGTGGACGTAAGAATTATCTAGCTGTAAAATTTAGCAGCGTATTAATTTCGGCCATTTTGGATGAAAAAAAAATCCTTAGAAAAATGATCAGCTGTTGGGAAAAAACATAAAACGAGAAATAAAGTCCATAAGGATTTAATCTATCAATGGCTAGGGGTTGATAATACTGCAACAAGCAATGTCAGCTGTAAAAAAATGTTTGTGTAGCAAAGGCACACCGACTGGAGGATACACGTCTTGCCGGCCGTTGGGCGAGGGTGTCACTGATCAGGGTATGCGAGTGGTGGACAATGAACGGAGGGGGGGGGGGGCGCAGACCAGTCTCCAACGGTCTGGTGTCTCAGGACGGACTAGGGGCTGTTAGAGGCTGTGTAAACTAAACTAGAGCGACGTATACTAACCTAGCGACCATGGCGTTCGCCCAGCCAAGCTCAATCGCCTGGCGCATGAGAAAACCGCCAAAGATTCGCCCGAAACGGTTCCGGTGCTGAAAACGGCACATATCAGCCAGATTTATCGAGAATATTGAATAAAATATCGCCAGGAGTCCGACAAATTAGCTCACTTTAAACCAAATGGAGCAGTAGATTTCCCGAACAGCACAACTTTAAACACAGTGTCTAGACAGTCACAGCCACCCATAATTAAGCTATAAGCATTCTGTAATATGTGTACATTCAAGGCATCTGGCCACTTCTACATACAACATTTTCTTATAACCAGCATTCAGACAGCCAGTGTCCTAGAAGCAGAACTTTCATAATATACTGTTTTCAGAGTAACCCTAGCAGGCAGAAAGCACGCAAAATATGTCTACACAATGCATGAATCGTACTGTAGGTATGTAAAACAAACAGTCAAGCCAACGGTGTTCATCCCAAGCAAAATGTTTCAAAGCAAGCATACCGTGTCCCTATAATTACACAACAGACTCGAAGACAGAGGCCCGCTTGAGGCCAGCTACCGCCGCGCGGTTGAGCAATGACTCACCAGTGGCTGGGGCCTACCTGCCCACTTCTGCAGGGAGATGACCATTGATCGAAAGGCAGGATACCTATTATTACCTATCTGGGCCCAGGACTGGCTCCTGCAGTAGCAGTGGCACAGATTCAACCCCTGGGACCGAGCCAAGGGTGAGTCATGGACCTATGGGCCAGGGGCCGTATTCACGTTGACTTCGTAAGTCGATTTTCTTTCGTAAGTATAAGTTGGTATTCACATCGACACTTCTTAAATTTTTATCGGCGGAGTTCACGTGAATAAAAAAATTAACTTAAGAAGTAGGTCAAACTTAAGAAAATTCTTACGAAAATGATCGACGTGAATACGGCCCCAGGAACTGAACTCTGGACCAGAAACCTGACCTCAGAGCTGGGGCCATGATGACCATCATGACCCTCTGGGCATGATGATTAACCTCAGGTCCAGCGATCTGACCGGGCTCGGAACTGACCTCCGGATGGCAAATGATGAGGTTCTTCAGCTTGGTCTCGCTCATGAAGAGGGCGTTCTCGGGCCGGCGCTGTCGGAACGTGCCGTGGTCGACGGTGTCGATGAACACCTGGTGGATGAGTGCCACCTCTGACTGCGTCGGCGGCAGCTTGAACAGCGACTGCTCGGCCATCCGCTTACGGCGCACCTTGTTCACTGGAACACGCGGCCAGTGAGTGCTGGAACTGACTGCTAGCCGACCAGGGAGGGGGACTGAGGACAACTGCTCGTTGCTGAGGGTTGGTGGTCTTTCAGGCACGGCAAAGGTGTGGGAAAGCATACTGACACAAAATGCTCGGCTTCGGAAAGTGTGCATATAAATCATTACCAAAGCAAGACATATTCACACTTATTGATGAAAATATGGTGATGCCATCGCATTTATTCGCCAATATGCGATTACCATTGCATAAACAAATGACTATTAAAATTAAAAATGATCATACCCAGGAAACAACCGCATCAAATGTTCACCAGCCCGAGTCCGAGACCCACCTTTTCCGACTTTGACCATCTCCTGCTCCTCTGGAGTATCGGCCACCAGCGGGTTGACCACGGCCGATCCAGTGTTGAGCGGGTCGCGCGCCACCATCACCATCTCTGCCTTGGTGATGGGCTCCCAGTGGCCACCGTCCAGCTGCTCCAGCACCACGGTGGTCTCCAGGGAGCTGGTGCCCACGTACGTCACCTTGCCGGACAGACGGATGTCCTCGTCCGGCTGCCGGGTGGAGGGCGATGTTAGGGAGGCTCATGGGATGATACATGTATCATCATATTCATGAATCACATGCCTGTTTTACAAGTATATCTATATTTCTATGCACTTATGATGGAGACTTAGCAAAAGTACATGTCATTTTAGGACTTAGATTATTGTAGCACTAAGACCTCGTCAAAACAAAAAAGGAAAAAAAAATCACTCAACGCAAATACTGTCAAATGCGGATGTCGCCTATTACCTAATCTATTCTGTTTCTTATTCAGCCCACTGCATTCAACAGCCGGCTCCCAGCAGCATTTTGTACCTTGAGGTTGTGCGCAGTGAAGTCCATCCGATCCACCAGCGCGGTGACGATGCAGAACGGGCTGGGCATGTTGGGCAGCTGCTTGGGGTTCTTCACGTACTTGTAGCACAGCCACACTGGCGGGGGAGATAGAAATGTGACGGTCAGGTCTTAACAGTAAAACTAAGGGTGTATGATATTATCCTAATCCACGGATAACGACGACGTGCCCAAATATTATTGAGCGAACCTAATTCTAGAGAGAGAAAAAATGACAAGAGTAAGCATATCGATAATATGTTTAAAAATTGAGTATTTTGAGCCCAATAAAGTAAGTCGAAAAATCGCCAAGCGCATGCACCACTGCGCATCTTGGATCATGTCTCAAAATCTGTAGGCCTTCAAGATGACTACATGGGAAATCTTGACAGACTCGCGGTTTTTCTACACATATCATCGGTAAAACATCACGTTCGTTGTAAGTGCACACCACACAAGACATGTCAAAGAGCCACCTACACTTCTCCCTCACCAGCAAACACGTCGATATCCTCCATGAGTCTGCCGGTGCGCACTCCGCCCATGTAGTTGATGTACTTCTCCCGCAGTGCCAGATCCTTTCCGAGCGGGATGTAGGCCTCGTCATAGCTGTCTGCCATGCGCCGTCCGGGCAGCTCGGCCTGTGAGCGGGGCAGGATCGCCTCCAGAGCCGCACGGTCCTCGGCAGGGGATGAGAAGGACGTCTGGGCGCCCGTCACTGACTCCAGACGGGCGATCACTGCGGGGAGAGGGAGGGAGGGAGGGTGAGAGTGACGGGGAGGTAAGGAGTGGTCAATGACTTGGCTGAGAAAGATATTAGTGCATATTATAATTCTCGTTTAAGTTCATTTTACAGTGATGTCCAAAGCCAAAGATGGGTGAAGTCAAACTGAGCCAAAATTGAGCAATGTGGTCAAATATGAGACACGATAATGAACGCCACTAGCTTGGCTAGCAGCACGTGGAATATACCGTAGAGCTGGTTATGTGGTAGAGCCGTTTTCACCTACCATCCTGGACGGTTTGTCGGCGCACGGTCCTTGTGATGCAGATGTGTCGGACCGGCACGGCTGATTTGAACAGAGCCAAACCACTGAAACAAATCGAAGTGTGTGAGACCACAGCCAATACATGATGACTGGCACAGACCACAGCCGTAGCAAAAACCCAGGGTTTAGCCAGCACAAAGGCTAGCCACAGCTCACCGCTCACACCAAGGGTGGCGTCGATGGTTTCCAGCCGATCGAAGCCTGAGACTAGCGGTCTTACGCATTTGTCAAATGTTCAGATGTTGCAGTGCAGTGGTGGGGGTTTGACTATCTGAGACAAGGTACGAATGAGTGTGCTCTCGTTGAAGTTTCAGTTATCTTCAGTTCTCTTGCCGAGTGATCGGTATCAAATTCTACCCACATAAGACAGGCTGTAAAACAACCACAAATCAGAAAAGTGGGCGCTAAATATCAACTAAGACATCTTGACGATCAAGCGGCGAACGATCATAGACGGCTCGCCAAAAGATTGATCGTTGACGGTCCGTCGAAAGATCGATCGCATCATAGACGCTCGTCGAAAGATCAATCGCATCATAGATGCTCGCCGAAAGATCGACCGTAGACGGCTCGCCAAGAGATCGACGGACTGTCACTGACTTAGGCCGATCATCTGCGCCGATCACTCGACCAGCGACTGCTGGGAATTCATGGAGAGGGCACCGAGACACTTTTCGTTTGAACTTTTCTTATCGTTTCCTTGCACATACTTTTCAACTGCTAAGTGGATGGAACTCAACAAGATGAGTTGACAAGGTGAGTTTCAGTTGCCTTACCTTCTAATGCAATGACTGAACATGGCTGACTGGCTTTTGAGATAGATATGTGCCAAAATGGATGCACCTGAAAAATGAGAAGGCATTAAAACATTAAAAACACATTTAAATACACAGAAAACAGCAAACACTTCTTCTGACTGCAAACGTACTCGGTACTCGAAACACCTGATTTGGTACTGATCGCAAAACTGTTGACGTCATTATTAAATATTTCATTTGAATGCTGACTTGTTTGTGTGAGAATGTAGGTAATAAATACCTACTAGGTGAGGTGGCGACAGCCTAACAAGAAATTACGAAAATCCCAAGAAAATCCCAAATTAATATTTCCATTCAAGAGGCTTCCACAGAAAATGTGCACAATCCACATGATGACACCATCAAACCGCAATATGTTGCATGTATTCTAGTGAATACTGCCTGGGTACCCACCGCAAATGCACTTCTGTTGGACTACGACTATGTCTCCAGTCTCACGGCCTCAGCAGCCTGCCTGCCTGGGAACCTGTCAGCAAAGATATGTAAAAACCGCATTTAGGCCAGGGCCTTAAGGCTTAAGAAAATGCAAGAGGCGAGCTCAAAGTCGAGAGAAAATCACCCAAACTAGAAAGTTGGACAAAAATGAGCATATAAAGGATAAGACATAGACAAAAAACACCTAATAGAAATCAAAAAACGCATCACTACTCACCAACCACACCACCTTCGTTGTCAAGGCTGGTCCAAGATTCTCACAGATAAACAGACATACATATATTATTACAGACAGGGCTGGTCACTTTGTTGTGGTAAAATCCAAAATCCGCCTTGGGTTGGCCCTCAGTAAAATTTGAGTAAAATGCACAGTGTGTAAAATGTTATTTTCCCGTCGTCGAAAAGTTGTTTGTGTTTGTAAGCACCCTGATATTTACAATATATTACGTACTAAATTTAAATTATCAAAATACTTAAAAGAAATTTTTCAATATTCTTGCTATTTTATAGAAATGAATTCAACTATGTCAATTTAGAGCAAATAACAATAAATATCGAAAAGCAACAGCAGTAAGTCCCAAAATTAGGTGATTATTCATTAAAACGTCAGTTGTAAGCAACAGGGCAACCATCAAAGAACCCATTGAAAAACATTTAACTTGAATGAGACGAGCAGTGCTATGATTGCCGCATATACTTTTGTTCTTCTTGTAATTCTGCCCTAGGACGTCATCAAAATCCTCCCATTTGATTTGAGGAATCTTGTGAGGAATAGTGAATCGCTAGAGAGCGATCATATATTAGCCTGAAAACGAAACACCTGATTTGGTATTGATTGCAAAACTGTTGACGTAATTATTAAATATTTTATTTTAATGTTGACTTGTTTGTGTGAGAATGTAGATTCCTTGACGCTTATTTGCCCAAATTTGCCTTCAGGCTCCCCACGTCCGTCTGTTTCTGTGCGTGATCCATATGGTCGGGATGTGGTAAGTTGTCTAAGGTAATTTGCAAACTACGTACTTGTGCAATTTTTTGTAGCATGTAAATAGCGAAGTACGTATACGATGAACTGCACAACAACTTAGGAAGGTATTTTAGGATGCCTTTTGTTTATGCTCAATGATAACGATTGTTTCCAAAATCAAGTAGTCATGAGTCATGTTACAGTCTGTCTTAAAAGTACCGCACAAAGTAATGGTGGATCCATCAAGCCTGACCGAGGGAGGACCTGCTATAATTTGAAAGTCACCGAACCAATTGACCTGGGGCATGGACGAGGATGCCCAGTGCCTACTGCTTTGGTGACTCAAATTTAGCAGTCCTTTGTCGGTAAGGCTTGATGGAATATGGATCCTCGGTTGCTTTGCGCTGTACTTTTAAGACAGACTGTACCTACCAAATGAATGAATTACTTAACCTTTTGCTATCACTGAGCATAAGATATTCTAAGATTTGTTATTTTCTTAGGTTTTGTTATGTTCCATTGCTTCATAGTTTGTAATTTCAAGAATTTTATCTGATGTCTCTGCTTTCTTTTCAAGTCAAAACTCAAAAATGAGCTGGTTTGCACATTTTCTGGTGATTGTTGATGCAACAAATATTCCAGATTTTTTTTACAAAGTAATTTTGTAGAAGGTTGAATGGGTGGCTGTGAGGAGCGAGCGTGGGTGCCTCGCTAAGCAGTGCTTGTATGAATGACACCACAGACCCCCACCTGAGTCTGATCTTGCGCGCGCCAGTTCATTGGTGATAATTTGAATCAAGTTAACAGAGAAATTTGCTGCAGATAGATGGTGGTACAGCACAGTGTCAACTGTCAGGACCATCCCATCTCTAGTGTGATCCACTTACCAGTACCGTTGGCTGAGAATAAATATAGTAGATGCAGGTCAAATGACCTGGAGCTTTCAGGCTATGTATTCGCTGCCCACCAGTTAGGAGATGGACGCCTTATCCACTAGGGCAGGGGCAGCACACACCTTTTCCTTGTTTCATTTTGTAGTTACTTGGGGTCATTTCTAGTCCTAAAAATAGTTGCTCAGTCAGATGAGCTTGGAGGATCGCTGTATTTCAATGGTATGATATAAACACTAATAAAAATCATATTACTTGTACTACCTAGGTAGGTATTCAAAAGCAGTACAACCCAAGCATGCTGAATCCCCACTTTTTCCATACACTATTTTCATTTATTAGCATGCCTTTTGCCTACCACTTGATTGCATGACATACTTACTTAGTTGGTAATGCTATTTTCAGTCTTTCTTTGGTAATGGCAAAACAGTAGTGCCAAAAATTGGGAAGGTCTAGCAGAGATTTTGAGATTTATGTCCCAATTCTCCTGATTACCTAGTTCCAGAGTCACCAAATTTCCACAGGGTGAGATTTCTTATGGGCCCACTGCCCGGGGCCCTGTGAATTTGGTGTTTCTAATGACATAGGAAACAATTGCCTGGGGTGTTGCCCCTCCCCCTGACAGTTTGGTGAGTTCATTTGTTCAAGTCATGAAAAGTCTGCAGTCGAGCAAAAATAGTTTCTGGCTCCTATGCAGTAAATCTTTTGCAGGAATTCAAGGAGTCTGTACAAGTAACAGTGGTTTACCACAGGCCCAGCTCCTCATGCACATTAGGTTTGTGTTGAACTTTCATTGGGCAGACTTTCAACTACGTTCGAGCGTATGCGAGACTAGTTTAATCGTCCCAGGCGAGGTGCTTGTCGAAAATCGCGCCAAGGCTTTCTCACCAGCGGATCGTGCCCTTAAAGGGACTATCCCACCTTCTAAATGTTGTTAAAACCAGTTAATTGTGCCCGACTTATAGATTGGATGACCAGGAACACGGTTCTGGCATTTTTTTTCATTAAACATCTAGGTTCCCGTATTCCAAACACAAACTTTCAAATAGTGACGTCACAGCCCAAAAATACCTTTCCCCAGGCCACATTACTGTCATAAAGCTGATTCTTTTACTCTGTAGGCACCACAACAATGTTCAGACCAAGTTTTAAGCGATTTTTCAACGACACAAACCCATTTAAATCAGAATGACTAAACGAGGTGACGTCACACTAACGGTCGCTCCATGTTGAAGATAGGGCCTTGTACAAGGCCCATTTTCAAATGAAGGGAACGAATTTCTTCAACACCAAGAGGCCGCGGGGGTTGCAACCTAGATAGATAGTGGTTCTGAACCTCGCCGTAAACTTGGCTATCTCAACTCAAACCCCATGTTAAAGGTGGGATAGTCCCTTTAATTAGTTTGAATTTGATCGGCCTAGACACAAAGAGCATGCATGCCAAATTTCAGCTACCCTCAAACGTGCTCCGAATAATCGCGAAGAAGTCGAACCATTTTCTGGTTCCCGGACCCAGGTGGACCAAAATATTTGTTTTACTGAATAGGCATACATATACCTAAGCAGTCTATTGAAAATTGAAATCATCATTTGTCATCCACTCTGCAGGCCATACACGACGTCACAAAGCTCATTTGAGAATGCCTAGATTATCAAAGTTTTTTCGCCACTGACTAAGGATCGAATTGAATAGGCGAGTCGGGAAAGGGACCGGCTCACTCTGAAAGAGTTGGTGAGTCGAACTACCCATACATACGTACCCGACACGATCTATGCTCTGACTCACTACGACGTCGCACCTCACTGAACCCTGACGAACCGTGCTCGTTACAGGTAACGATGGCGTCTATAGCGGATAGACTGGGCGTCAGCGGCGACCACGAGTGGTCATCGGCGCCAGCTTCAGCAAGGGCAACAAGGGCACCGCCTTCCACTCCGTGCGCTGTGAGTGACGGGGAAATGGGGGGGGGGGAGGGCACGGAGGTCGGGTGGACGGGCGGCGGAGGTCGGGTGGACAGTGGAGGGAGCCACACAGGTGGAGTGGGCGGGATAGGGGCCACGTGTGGCGGGTGTGGTGAGTGAATCTTTGAGACCGCGATGTACGGACGGGGATAGATGGCGGCGACGATGGGTACGGACCACTGAGAATCAATCAATCAATCAATCATGTTTTGAGTCCTCCAGTGAATGGTTTTTCAGTGCTCTCGTCATAACATTCATTCACAATCTATAAAACTACAAGTGGGTATAAAACACACATCAATAAGAATGACGCACAGTATAAAAGTAAAGAGAATTGTCTGTACCAGTAAGATACTCAGATGGCAAAATGGAAGTTAAGAATGCACATACGGGTAAAAGTAGACAAAGTAAAAAAAGTGAGCAGCGCAAAAAAATCATCACAAAATACATCACAGCTTGTTGCCAGAAAGCTAACGATGGAGACCGTTCCACGATTTTACTGCTTTAAAATGAAAAGTACGCCTAGCTCGCTCTGTTCTAATTTTAGGCAGGTCCGCTGATCCCCACATGTCCGCGAGTGACCTCCTATTCACATCAGAGCGACGCATCACGAGTCCAGCTAGAGATGGCGGCGCATCCGACGAGAGAACCTACGCAGCATCGCTATGTCTCGGTCCTCCAACATCTTGTCAAACTTCGGCCATTCGAGAGCTTCCAGAGCTGCGCTAATGGTCGCGTTTAGACAGTCCTGTTACAATGCGCGTCTCAGTGGAGTGCGGACCACTGAGACTGTGGTGGGGTGGATGGGAGGGTGTTTCAGTGGAGTACGGACCACTGAGACTGTGGTGGGGTGGGAGGGGGGAGGGTGTCTCAATGGAGTACGGACCACTGAGACTGTGGTGGGGTGGATGGGAGGTGTCTCAGTGGAGTACGGACCACTGAGACGGTGGTGGGGTGGGTGGGAGGGTGTCTCAGGTGTACGGACCACTGAGACTGTGGTGGGGTGGATGGGAGGGTGTCTCAGTGGAGTACGGACCACTGAGACTGAGTTGGGGTGGATGGGAGGGAGTCTCAGTGGAGTACGGACCACTGAGACTGTGGTGGGGTGGGAGGGGGGGGGAGGGTGTCTCAATGGATTACGGACCACTGAGACTGTGGTGGTGGGGGGGGGGGGGGGAGGGTGTCTCAGTGGAGTACGGACCACTGAGACTGTGGTGTGTGTGGGGGGGAGGGTGTCTCAGTGGAGTACGGACCACTGAGACTTGGTGGGGTGGATGGAGGGAGTCTCAGTGGAGTACGGACCACTGAGACTGTGGTGGGGTGGGAGGGGGAGGGTGTTTCAATGGAGTACGGACCACTGAGACTGTGGTGGGTGGGTGGGAGGGTGTCTCAGTGGTGTACGGACCACTGAGACTGTGGTGGGGTGGATGGGAGACTGTCTCAGTGGAGTACGGACCACTGAGACTGTGGTGGGGTGGATGGGAGGGTGTCTCAGTGGAGTACGGACCACTGAGACTGTGGTGGGGTGGATGGGAGGGTGTCTCAGTGGAGTACGGACCACTGAGACGGTGGTGGGTGGGTGGAGGGTGTCTCAGTGGTGTACGGACCACTGAGACTGTGGTGGGGTGGATGGGAGGGTGTCTCAGTGGAGTACGGACCACTGAGACGGTGGTGGGTGGGTGGGAGGGTGTCTCAGTGGTGTACGGACCACTGAGACTGAGGTGGGGTGGATGGAGGGAGTCTCAGTGGAGTACGGACCACTGAGACTGTGGTGGGGTGGGAGGGGGGGGGGAGGGTGTCTCAATGGATTACGGACCACTGAGACTGTAGTGGTGGTGGGGGGGGGGGGGGGTGCTCAGTGGAGTACGGACCACTGAGACTGTGGTGTGTGTGGGGGGGAGGGTGTCAGTGGAGTACGGACCACTGAGACTGTGGTGGGGTGGATGGGAGGGAGTCTCAGTGGAGTACGGACCACTGAGACTGTGGTGGGGTGGGAGGGGGGAGGGTGTCTCAATGGAGTACGGACCACTGAGACTGTGGTGTGGGGGGGGAGGGTGTCTCAGTGGAGTACGGACCACTGAGACTGTGGTGGGGTGGATGGAGGGTGTTTCAGTGAGTACGGACCACTGAACTGTGGTGGGGTGGATGGGAGGGTGTTTCAATGGAGTACGGACCACTGAGACTGTGGTGGGGTGGATGGGAGGGTGTCTCAGTGGAGTACGGACCACTGAGACTGTGGTGGGGTGGATGGGAGGGTGTTTCAGTGGAGTACGGACACTGAGACTGTGGGGGTGGATGGGAGGGTGTTTCAATGGAGTACGGACCACTGAGACTGTGGTGGGGTGGATGGGAGGGTGTTTCAATGGGTACGGACCACTGAGACTGTGGTGGGGTGGATGGGAGGGTGTCTCAGTGGAGTACGGACCACTGAGACTGTGGTGGGTGGATGGGAGGGTGTTTCAGTGGAGTACGGACCACTGAGACTGTGGGGGGTGGATGGGAGGGTGTTTCAATGGAGTACGGACCACTGAGACTGTGGTGGGGTGGATGGGAGGGTGTCTCAGTGGAGTACGGACCACTGAGACTGTGGTGGGGTGGATGGGAGGGTGTTTCAGTGGAGTACGGACCACTGAGACTGTGGTGGGGTGGATGGGAGGGTGTTTCAGTGGAGCACGGACCACTGAGATGTGTGGGGTGGGTGGGAGGGTGTCAGTGGTGTACGGACCACTGAGACTGTGGTGGTGGGTGGGAGGGTGTCTCAGTGGTGTACGGACCACTGAGACTGTGGTGGGTGGGTGGGAGGGTGTCTCAGTGGTGTACGGACCACTGAGACTGTGGTGGGGTGTGTGGGAGGGTGTCTCAGTGGTTGTACGGACCACTGAGACTGTGGTGGGGGGATGGGAGGGTGTCTCAGTGGTGTACGGACCACTGAGACTGAGGTGGGGTGGATGGGAGGGTGTCTCAGTGGTGTACGGACCACTGAGACTGAGGTGGGGGGGAGGGGTGTCTCAGTGGAGTACGGACCACTGAGACTGTGGTGGACACCGTGGACAGGGTGGACGAGCGAGTGTCGCCCGGTGACGGATGAACCCGCTAGACAGGCGAGAGTCGCCTGTTGGCAGGGCGAGGATTGCACGGTGGGCGGGCGCTATTTGTAACCACATCTGCTCATTGTTCTGTGCGCTGGCGATGATTGTCATTAGTTGTAGGTGCGATGGTGCCTTGCCATCCCCCTGGTCGTACGTCTGGGGAAGCAGCACCCGAGCCACAGCGTCACATGTGGGGAAACTAGAAGACAAATCGATTCTACTGATGGGTTGTAATGAATTCCCTGACGTCTAACTATTTCATCAGCATTTCAAATAACGCCATCTGGGTGATCAGTGGCCAGGCGATTGCGTCATCGACACCCGACAATCACTTTTAATGGTCGTTTTTACCTTATCGAATAACGTGTTCAATGTTTATAATGCCAGTGCTGCCAGGCCGATATTATTATTTTGCTTTGGTTCCATTTCTCGCACGTCACGCAGGCCTTTCGCTACCTTCTACAGTATGCTATCTGTAGTAACCTCTCGGCTTACCTATCCACCCCTACAATGCCCAAATGCTCCCCCTCGGCGCCCCCACTCCCCTTCAACATCTCTCCGATGACTACTTGTTCTTCCCCGTCACTCACTTCGACATCCGTACCATCACGGGGATTCCCCCGATCCCCTCCTTACCCTCCAGTTATTCCCTATCTTTCCTAACGTACCGCACCATAACGCCCGCTTACATTCCCCTCGTGTGACTCTCTCACTGTATGACTCCAGCTCACCGTACCTCTCCCCGTCAGATGACTTCAAGCCGGCCTCCGTGGACCCGTCCAAGACAGCCACAGTGGACGTGGGTGATAACCACAGTGTGACAGTGACTGTGCCGCACATCGAGGGCACCAACCACACCGTCTACCGCGGCAACAGCCGGCCCTACCAGAAGGAATGTGTGCTGATAGTCGACCATGAAACGGGGGATATCAGGCTCGAGAGGCTCACTGAGAACATCCAGGTCAAGAAGACCAGGTGGGTGACGATACTACGAGGAGCGGATTAGGGGGTAAAGGTGGTGAATGATTAGATTGTGACACGTGTCTCGGTGATATTGTGTATCATTCGATGTTTGCATTTTGTAATGCAACGATATGACTAACGAATTGATAGCGTAATGCTGCCGAGTCTGGTTTTGGTGTTTATTAGGTAATTGGTGTGTGATACTGCCGAGCCTTTGACGCTGTGTCTCTCTCCACCCCAATGCCCCCGGTGACCACGGTCTGTTCTTTCACTGGCCCGGCAGGTCGGAGGGCCCCACGCCGCGGATGCCGGCCATGCCGCGGCCTTTGACTCCTATCGACCCGGTGGCGCGGCGCACCTCGCCCTCCCAGCACCAGGCGGCGGCGGCGGCGGCTCCTCCGGCACCGCCGCAGCGCCTGTCGCCACACTCTGTGCCCTCTCGGTCTGCGCGCGCCTCACCCACTGTGCGCCGGCCGTCCCCGGTGCCGCACCAGCAGCCGGCCCGCCGCGAGCCGCCGCCGCCGCCCCCACCACCGGCCACGGCGCCCGGCAGCATGCCTAGCATCCTGGGGATGCTGGACGATGACACCTCGCTGCAGCTGCCGCAGGCCGCCCCGCCTCCCCAGCCGCCCCCGCCGCCGCAGCAGCAGCAGCCGCCCGCCGCGCCGGCGCACGCGCCGCCCCGCAACCCGGTGAGGCGGACGGGAGTGGGGGGGGGGAGGGGTGACGACTAATGTTGGCAGACATACGTCCTTCGTGCAAATTTACTTAACTGAATATTGCCAACGGTAAAATGTTTAAACGTGTGCCCGGCAAGTTGGCATTCATGATTCGTGGATACAATCAGAGTGAGTATTGCCGTTAATTAGTGTAAACACGACCATTTATTTTTGATGCTTGACGCAATTTTGGGGCCTGAAACTCCTGTTTCTGATATTGGCCTACTTTATGTTGCGCTGCATGGCGATCCCCGCTGACGCCATACCTGACATATTCTGTCGCCAGAGTACCGACTGTATTGGCACGGTGAGCGACAGTGACAGTGACAGCGACTCGGGCTCCAGCTCCGACAGTGACATGGATGTGGACAGCCGACCCGTGCCAGGTGGGTGTCCGTACATATAAACGTTTTACTCTACAGCGCCATACCCAGCTTTGGGACTAGAGGTGGCAAAATGTGGACCCGAGGACCCGGTCCAAAGAACCAGTCTGGACCCATATGGGTCCAGACCGGTTCCTGGAAATTTTCTGACGGGTCCAACCGGGTCCAACCATAAACTATACATCTTGCACACTACACATTATTGCAAAATATGAAGTGAATGAAGTGAATGTTTCTTTGCACACAGTAGCTCATGAGTATTCCCAGTGGGAAATAGGCTGTTATACATGATGCAACTAATGATGTCTACAAGAAGTTTGTATTAATTGACTTTTGGGTACCGGGTCCAACTGATTCCGATTCCAACTAAGACCGGGTCCGACTGATTCCAGAAATGTCCAGCCGGGTCTGGTTCGAGTCTGGTTCCCAAAATTTTCATCTTTTGCCACCTCTATTTGGGACTGATCAATTTTGGGGGCTAACTGTAAGGCAAGGTGTGATGATGCTGGATAATATTTGTTTAGGGACTAGGGATGTGCTTTACTCGAGGAGTGGCATAAATTATTTAAGGCTTACACAGGCTTGACAACAACGCTATAGCATTGCCAAGGTATCCGCCAGTCATGAGCTTTATGTGTCTTGGCGCAATCACAGTGTCCTGGCAAAAATAGGCACCATGTCGTCCAGTGCCTTTCGTTCCAGTGTCCCAAAATTTGTAGATGTGGGTGGGAAACGACATCGAAATGCAAATCATTTTCCACTTTCTCCTCCAGTTTTCAAGCCCAATTTTCCACTCCCAATCCCATCGAGAAGGAGCAATTGCGGGAATGGTTGTTTTACATCTGTCACAATTGTAGATAGATTAATGTTTTTGATCATTTCCCACTCTTTTTGGGCCTTACCTGACCGACAATTTTCACTTTCATCCTTTACTCAAGAGGAGGAGGCGCCTCTTGAGTAAAGGGTCTTATTACTCGAAAGGGTATCTAATGACCTTTACTTAAGGTAAATACTTAAGGTAAATACTTTTTTTTTGGTCAGCAATTTTCCCCTCTGACACCCAAGCAAAAATATGATTTTGGTACACTGGTCGTTCCTGTATTGTAACGTGCCCTCCTCCGTTGACAGGTCGTCAGAACGGTAACCTGAACATGCCGTCCCTGCTGACGGACCTGCAGCTGTCCGAGTCGGACTAGCCGCCGGCGCGGGCCACAGGTCACCGACAGCCCGAGGTCACCGGCCTCCAGGTCAGCCAGGTCACTCCCGAGGACCGCCCGGCCTCGCACCGAGTGGCCGACGCGGCGTGGCTGCGGGCGCAGCCAGGACAAAACGACACACAGATATAACTGTATAACGTGCCTGCTACGCAACGACGACGGAACGCTTGGACGCGAGGGCTGCGTGCGATCCTATAAACGCGTGCGGCCGGCGGGGCGCCGCAGTGTTGTTATTTCGAACGTTGGTGATGGGTGCGAGAGCGCGGTCCCTGCCGTCTCTCTGCGATAGATTTTAGGAGGTGAGAAGGACTATGTCAGTGACACACCGCAGGTCGGGGAGGAGCTTTGCCGGCTCATACCAGAAGGTAGCCGTCGTGGTGAGGCAGGAGGTAGATCTGTAAGAGTGGGGCGGATTCGCGGCCAACCAGGCCGTGACTGGAGCCTCCCTTAAGTCGACCGGATGGACTGAGTTCCGATGGTTCTATAACGGTACCCTAGACTCTACGAGGCGATATTACTTATCAACCGTGCCCTATGTGCGGACGGCCGGGAGGGTGCAGATGCGTGCCCGGGAGACTGGGCTCCCGCCGGCTCTAACGCGGCTGAGCCCCGGCCGTCCGCTCTCCAACCGTTCCACAAACCAGCGTCTCTGAGCGCCTACTAACGTTCTGTGTTCTCCTGTGTTCTTTGACAATGGTTCTTACCATAGCCAGCTGTGATCGCGAGCGAGCGGTCCGCCGAAGAGCTCTTCAGTGATGGGTGCGTCATTCCCCTCGTGGACAAATCATTTATGCAATCAGTCGAAAACAAGTCAGATAGACGATATGCAGTATCAACGGCAAATATCAAAATCTATTCCGCCGTATCGCTTCGTATGACCGATCAGGACATATCAGAGTGAATTGATTAAATTATTGCAATCTGCAGTAGACCTATAGGTGAGGCCGTTCCGAATCCCTCTCACGCTGTGCAGTACCGGTCGGCATGTATTGAGGGACCCCATGACCTGGTCTGTGGGCTCCGGGACGCGCATTCGAGGCTCCCCGTGAGGAGAGAGTCCGGGAGGAAGGAAAGAGTGAGGGAGTGTGTATCACACGAGTCTGCTCTGCCCGAGGCGGGAATACAGGTTTGATAGTTCGCTGTCTTTGACTGAGGTTGTGTTCGTCCTGTGTTTGGTACCGGCGTGGGATATGACTGCAGAAACAAAGTACTAAGTCAGCGAGCACCGATGCGTGCCTCGTTTCGTAACCCCAGACTAAACTCACCAGCCAGCAACCCCGTACTCCATGGAACTGTTGTATCATGAGCGAGGTGATACACGATTGATTCCATCTCAAACACGTTAACCCTATTAGTGGCAGGGGGGGTTGTTTTTATCCACCCCTCAGGTTTTTCGGGAATATCTCCGAAACCGCTGAAGCTACGATGCTGAAATTTTCTGACTTTTCCTAAAACTAAATTGGGCACATTCCCTGAAAATTTCAAGTTCATAACTTTACCAGGGGCGGCTCCAGAGCACTGGGAATAGGGGGTCCTATTCGTGAAGCGAGTCATTTGGGCGAAGATCACGATGCTGCACCAGTTTTACGAACAGTGAAGGTATCATGTGATAACATATACAAAGTTATTGCGCATCCTCTTTTGACACGTTTTTGCTATAATAGGCGGATCCAGGCGTCCAAAAAGGGGTTTATTTTTTACCTCCCAACATAGGTGCCCTGACACCGCCTATGCATGACCAATACAATTTTAGTCGTTCTCTCATAAGAAAATTGTAACATAACATGACCATTGCCACCCTTTTTAGAAACGGTACCAACAAAAACCTTATTTACTATACTTTTTGTGTACCCCCAATCTCAATGATCTGTATCCGCCTATGATTTTTGAAAATGCATATTTTTAGGATCCATGTGAATTCCTGGTTCATTCTCTATCGATCGGCAAAAGTTGCGTTAAGATTGGTTCAGAAACCTGGCCGTGATAAACAGTCTAAAATGTATCTGCAATTTGCACGTTTTTACCCCCCTCTACCCCCCTATTGACATTTTTCAATTTTATTTTTTTTTTTAGAAATGTAGATCTCGTTGAGCCAAATCGAATGCCGTTTGAATTTTGGAAATCGGCCGGTTAGATCTCGAGATATCAAGGGGGGTCGTAAACAGCCCCCCCCCTGCCACTAATATGGGGTAGCCAGGAGCCTGCCACTAATAGGGTTAAACATATCGTTACACAGTTGAACGGCATTATGAACCGAATGGAAGCCCATCACCGCTGCAGCGTTCAGTGCGCGCCACGCTGATCAAGATTACACTGGCAAGCTCCTCGCCATGACATGCGGTAAAAATGTAAATGTATTTCATGAGATGCGGACGATGACATACGACTAGGAAAAACACTACACCCCTGCTGTCACAATATGTACCCCCCCCCCCCCCCCGAGATACATCATATCAGTTCTGGCTCCCACGGTCATCACATCTTGAGTTTCTCCGGTTCTGACTCATTCTTTGTTCATTTCGACTTTTGTTTCCGCGCTTTGGTTTTCTTCTCGGTGTTTAGCGTACTTGGCCTCCAGCTGGTCGAAGAAGGAGCCCATTGCGGCGCCCCGCGCCTCCTGGCGAGCCTGCAGCACAAACGGGAGTGTCAGCCTATCAGGGAATTCACGCACAATCAGGGAATTCACGCACAAAACGTATGAATATAACGAGTCACGAGGTGGCTGCTTAAGCGTTAGCAAGGTGCTTGTCCAAAACGAATAAATCAGTCAGTGCGATGATAGCAATGGCTTTCTAGAAAATTCACCAGAAAGCAAGGATCGTCATTTGTTCTTTCAAATTGCTTATAAATTCGGCAAATTGTACTGAGGCCGAGTGCACCGCTGACAAATAGGAATTTTATTTTAATCAGAAAGCCCACCCCATCTACTCGTTGTCCACCCGGTCCATTCACCTACCATGATCATGGCCTGCAGAGATCCATCTCCGTCACCCAGACCGAGCTTTTTCTTCTCTCTCCTCAGCCTCAGCAGCCTCAGCCATCGCCTGCGGGCACAGCAGCCACGGACGGTTATCGATTTAAAGATAAATGACTGATTCACGACAGGAATGGGCACAAAACGCTCAACAGCAGGCAAACATGTTCTCAGTATATCCCATATTCGGCTGTCTAATGTCTTCGGAGTTGGATATAAGTGCACATACAATATTCAACATTGATGTCCCTACTCCGCAAACTATGTGAGAATACTGACTACGGATAGTTTAACTATGTCAACATCTCGATACTACGCCGAACCACGATACTGTGCATACAGGGTGGAAAGTAATTACGCGAACATGGATTTTCTTACAATTTCGCCCGTCAGTGGAGATTTTGTATGAGCGCGGGCTGTCATGGAACATGATTGGTCGTGTTTGTTGTCGCCTCATCTACCAAAAGTGACCTTACTTTGAAAAATGACTTGGAAGGTCTACAACACGTCTCGACTTCGAATGGTGCAGACGCCATACGCTGCACAAGACCACACATGTGCAAAGATCGCAATTTGGTGTTGCCAGGGAAAGCGTTTGTGATTATTTTGGGGATTGGTGCGGAAGGGACTCGGAACGGTCTCGGCACCAGCATTACTCAATTACACGTTTGGTTGAAGCATAATAAAACTTAAGAGGACCGTAAACTGGGGTGGCTTTGAACTTCCGGGTGACTTTGAACGCCGTTCACTTCTTAGAGGGAATCACAAATATCTTAAAAATGTGAATTATAAATGCAGCCATGTTTTTTTTACAGAAATGCACATTTTTGAAAATGTACATGACATATTGGAAGATATTTACCTTAGTACATATGAGTAAAAAATCAAAACTAAATCAATGTTTTTAGCTTTTGAGATATACCCGTAAACTTCCATATGGCATGGACTAGTCATTATGGTCATGGAACGGAATGACATATTTTTGCCATTTGATGGTTGGCCTATATGCCCCATCATAATTTTTTAGCTTGCTTGAGCATGGCCAATGCTGTGAAGGGATTTGTAAAAGCATGACATTTTTGGAACTTCGCTGGGGTGACTTTGAACGTGTTCAATGTAGCCCCGGTGACACGCATGCCTGACTTGTTGATCAAAAGACATGTTGATCAAAGCAACCCCACCAAAATACACTGCATACATTTTGCGCTACAAGATAGGGGTGTAACAGAGATCGACCAGCTGGTGTGCAGGCTAAGCCAGCCTGACATGGACAGGAGGGGCAGGCTCCACTTCAAGAGTGAGGAGCTCTCACTATACAAACTGATGCCGGGGTAAACTCATGACTGATGTGTTCTGACGCTAGCAGGTGTACACTGTACCTAGTGTTAAGTGTTAATATTAAGGTGTTAAGTCGGGTGTCAAGTGTTAACTGTGTCCAAGGATATTCTGTACTCAGGTGTTCTCAGGTGTATTTCATGCACAGGCCTAGTCGAGTGCATGCATTACACTTGAGTTGAGTTGAATCGAGTGATTTCATATCCTGTGAGTGTTGCTCCACAGTGCCTATGCAAGTCTTAAGGTGAGGAAGTAAGGTGTTTGCCATGAAAGATGCTTCTTTTTACTCACTGTCTGTGTGCTAATTTCTGTGAATATGATGTTTGATTCATCAGCAGAGGCTGTTCCAAGAAGTTGTGTTTTTGCTTGATGAGCTCGCCTTGTTTTGACTACTGCCCCCAGAAGGACTTTTGCAGGTATAAATGTTTTTGGCCTCTTTCTTAAAAAGCATCAGGGTGTTCAAAGCCACCTCAATCGGCACGAGAAATTGAACACCTAATGAGATAAATGATGAAAAACACAGACTGTTAAAGTCACCCCATTGCGTGGTGACTTTGAACACCAGACATTTTTTAAAAAATAGAGAAATGGCTATACCTAATTTTTGTTGACACCATGGATGGATAAGGCCAGACTCAGCCCACAAATAGTCCATGTTTCACATTCCTATCTACAGTAGTTTACAAGATATTCACCGATAAGTCTCAAAACTGTCCAAAGTCGCCCCGTTTTACGGGACTTAAAAAGCAAAGCCGTTGGCGGCAGTAAAACCTCGGCGAATTCAGGCGCCGAATGGGTGGTCACCATTTCCGCGACCAAACGACAACAGTCGATCCGAAAACAGGCGAAATGGTTTACTATGGCCGGGTACCCGATCTAAGATATCACGATATCACGATTCATACATAAATCCGTGAAAATTCGAAAATTAAGCCGTACAAACAATCGAGATGGCCAAAATTCATGAATTAACAGCAGGATTGTCAATTTAAGTTTTCTAAAGACCGGCAAACCTGAACAGAGGAGGACAGGCAGCTGGCTTTGTGGTTGGGTGAGACATCTTCGAAGCTATTTCATCCGTCAAACCTGCAGAACAACGCGTTGGGGGCTGCTGATGTGTCCGACGTCCGCCCGTCCCAACCTTCAAACATCCGGCAAAGGAACACACATCAGCGTGTTATGAGCGCCCGGATGGTGTCAGAATTGCATGTAGTGGCCAAAAAGGCAACCAAAAAAAAGTATACAACTAGTGGAACATCCTTCAGACGAGTCTCTTTATCTAATCCACCAATGCACCAAAAGGGGCAAAATGATTGAGCGCACTTTTGTGCCCGACGCAAAGAAATTCTTCTTCATGATTGATAAAGTCCTTCCTCTCACGGCCAAAAAGACGCAAGACTGGTGCTTTGAGAACCTGTTCTTCTTCTGGGCATATAATGGTCAATCTGGGAATAGCCCAGACCTCAATTTGATCAAAAATATCCAGGCGACTCTTCAGGAGAGCGTCTAAGAGCTGCTAGTAGCCACCAACATCGATTGCCTCACCAGACAGCTCCAGGAGGCGTGGACTAAGCTTTGGCCAATAGTGCTTGACATGCTCATGTCAAGCAGTAATTGTTTTTATTTTGTCCAGTGACCAAGGGTGAGCAACATCATCCGAAATATATGGACTTGTGAGTTATATATTATTATCCCAGAGATAATCCGAAAAGTGACTATACATAACTAATTTCCTGGGAAAAAATGACTTTAAAACATGCTCATGTCAATTATGCCTGAACGCCTTTGTCAGTGTATCGCACATAAATAGGAATATACAAGCGGCTGCGCCACTTGCTTTGCTGCGTGGTAGCAAAAATTGCGGCACCAGCCAATTTCTGCCGCCCGGAGGTAAAGAAGCGTAACTTGATTTGGGCGAATATGACTTTTTGATATCATTCGTTTCCGCGTAACGAAACGCATCTCTTGACATTGGCCTTAGGTGGCTATCACTAATATTGCACGAATTATGTGCAATAACTTTATTGTGCTGCGAGTGCATAGTTTTAAAGTCATGCAACATCAGGCAAAAAGGCGTAAAATGCATGTTTAATGGAATAAAAGCGTGTACATTCGATAAAGTGATCCGGCTTGCAGGCAAGGGAGCGTAAATGTGCTCACGCGCTTTTCTTCCTGCTACGAAGGACTAACAGCAATAATGAGCGGAAGCGTAACCTCCCGTTGGCAGCGGATTTGATGCAGGCAAAAAAGCGCAAAACATCCAGCACGCTTTTTTGGCTGCAATTAAAAATGGAGTCAAGTCAAGATACGTTTTTTTTTCGCTAAAATTTTAACGGAGGCACCAAATAAGTGCAAATTTGCATTGTTGTTGGCACAATCTTGTGCCAATATCTCGGCGGGCTCCCGCTTCTGGCCTAGCGGGGCGCACTTCTAGTGCCTACCCGCGTACGGATCCCGCACTTCCTCGGGCGGATGGGTCGAAGTCAGCCCAATACGCCCTCAACTTCGCAGCAATCCCTCGCAACTGCTGACACGCCCTCGCGGAATACCAGAAGCCACGTCGCTCGCCGGATACAATTCGACCTGGCCCACAGCCGACAGGCAGCCCGCCGGGCGCAGCTGCCCCCCAGCCGGTGCTTCTCGGAGACGACCAGCTGGACCAGCTTGCCCGTCGAGTGGCGGCGCTTTTGCAGCCGCCCCCTCCGGCTCGCCCAGCCGAGCCGTCGCAACCAGATTCGACACCGCGCCCGGGTTCGGCTAACCTACGCCCGATGGACGGGCCCCCACCACTGGTGCTCCCCGCCAGTGTTCAACCAACAGGGCGGGACTACCTGGTAGTTCAACGACTCATCAACGACAACTACCAGACGCGGGACCGACAGAAGATCCGGGTACTCCTACTGGCTACAGCCCCGGCCGACATCCAGGACTTCCAGTTTCTCCAAGACATATTGAAACTGTTCGTCATAGTCGGCCACCGCGGCTGGGCGGCTGCCTTAACCGCACTTCCAGGCCTGGAACTACTGCAGCTAGGAGTCCAGCTGCCGCCGCCCGCCCCGTACTACACCTGCCACCAGCCCCGGCCCCTCAGGTACAATGTGCCGAGAGTGTGGCCCCGGCCCTGCTGCCAGCCGTCGCCGCCGTCGCAAGAGGCAGGCAGCGGCTGCCGCGGGCGGTGCGCATTAATAGTAAATGGCGCCTGGCACGCGACGGTGCGGGTTGTAGCAACGGTCCCTCCGGTCCTCTCCCGCGCCGACGGAGCTCGTGAGCCGGGTCCCCCAGGGCCCCCCGGCTTGGCAGCCGGTGGCCGGGCGCCTCTTCCAGAGGCTTTTCCCTCGTCGACGGCAGCCAGCGGTTCTCCTGCTCCAGCTCCGGAGCGGCCGCGCTCAGCTGACGTCCCAGCAGATGAGGTACCACCTGCTCCGGACGAGCCTCTCCCCCGCGACGATGATACGCTCTCGTTTGCGGGGTCCCTCATCAGTGCAGAGTCCCAGCTGACCATCGACGAGATTGGGTCGCTCCCGGACCTCCACCAGCTGCTGACTCCCTCACCCGGCCGGTACCTGCCTCGCCCTCCCCCTGCCCTAGCTGTCAGATCTCGAGAGTGTGCTGGGCGGCAGCGGGACGGGCGACCCGCCGGAGGCCTCCACGCCGTCTGAGTCGGACTCCGACGATAGCTACCGGGGACCGACTACAGTGGACCTTTCGCAGCTGCAGCCCTCTCCACCCAGGCCGCAGCGCTTCATGGACCACTTCCGCCGTCTCACAGACGCCGAGATTAGGAAAATGGCCGACCAAGCTCGAGCCTTGCAGAATCTGCCCGCCCAGGACGCCGAGTCAGATCCACAGCAGCCGCCCCCCCTGCAGTCGCCTCTGGACCTCCAGACCCGGACGAGGACCAGAACCAAGAGGACAACGACCAGGAAGAGGAAGACGCCGACGATGACGACGAATCGCCCCTGCCGTTCATCGGCGGTCCACAGTCAACAGCAGCTTCGCCCAAACACGAGGTGGACATAGACGACCGACCCACAGTGAGTCCGGTGGTGGCCCAGGATCACCGGGTGGCCTCCAGCCTGACCTCAGGTGCTCGGACCTTTATACCTCGGGAGGCCCGTGGCCAGTTCTACCCGACTCAAGACCTGTTGAACCCTCCGCCCTGTTACCTGCCAGGGCGCTGGACCTCTTTCAATGTGAGAGTCCCCAGTGGGCTATACAAGTGGACCTGCAACATGGGTTTTACCATATCCCCTACACCAGGCCCTCCAGCCGTTCATGGGCGTTCGGCTCTCCACCGGTGAAGAGTACGTGTGGACCGTGCTGCCGATGAGCCTGGCGTCCGCTCCGGCCATAATGCAGTTGGTAATGCAGAGCGTGACCAAATATATGAGGAACAGGTTCCCACTCGTCCAGGCCAAGGTACGTGTATACCTGCACGACTTCCTGTTCTACGCGCCGCAGCCGGAACACCTACTCGGCATCCCGGCGCTGCTCACGGATATCGGGCTCCAGATCAACAAGAAAGAATCCATCGGATCCTTCGCAGAGCCTCACCTACCTGGGCCTTCAAAACGATTTGAACCACCGACGGATCTCGATCCCAGACCGCCTACAACGCCGGATTCTGCGGGCCCTGGCTCAGATCAGCTCTCTCTCCGAGCACCAAGCGCAACAGTTGTCCGACAGTCCGGATATCTCAACTTGGTTCGGCCCGTTGCAAAGCTGCCTCTCCAGCTCATCGTGGCTACCCTCCAAAGGGCCCACGGTTGAAGCAGTGGGCTCACGACGGTGTGTGGAACCACCAGTGTGGTCCTTCGACTACAAGGACTACCACAACTGGTTCCGGGAACACGACCACCGCGTGGCGGTGGACGCCACGCCGTCCCAGCTCGGGTTTGCCGACAACTTGGCAGCCCTAGCGATCCCACTCGAGAGGCCCCTGCCAATCTACGCGGCAGAGTACCTGGCCGCCTTCATCGCGGCCCTGCAGGTGCCGCCCGAGACAACAGTCTACACCGACAACATGGCAGTGTTGCATAATATTCATAAGGGTCGGTGCCCCGCAGCCTAGCTCCCATTTGTTTCGCGTACGTGTCAACAGTTTCCGATATGTACCATCCGCCTTGAACCCTACAGACGCCCCTAGCCGGTGCCCCCCTCCCCCTCCAGGGACAGGATGCCTAGAGAGCCCAAGAGCGTGCCTCGGCCCTGTAACCCTCTGGTGTATGTCCCGCATGTACTCAGTGTTGCAAAAAACGTGAGCAAAACTGCTCCTCAAAAGGAAGTAAATAAAAATCGTGTTTATGAATGTTTAAGAATATAAACATTCGTGAGTTAATGCATATAACGCATGGTTAAAAAAGCGTGCTGTGCTCGATATATCTGAGGAAAGTCTGGTAAAAAAGCGTAAATCACATCTTACGCTTTTTTGGCTGACATACAGAGACAATGCGCTTTTTTGGTTACGGTGCTATTGGCCGGTTGTGCATTTCAGCGGACGGCAAAGAAGTTTGGGCCGTTATGCTGCTGTAATGGCCCGATTTATTATTTTTAAGTAACACTGCCTTGATGCTGGATCGAAATGCTTTACAACGGTGCTATTTCGAAGTTTGTACGACAGAGAGGGCCCAAACAATTCCTAATAATCCATAACAACTTTAAATCGGCTCTCCTGAAAACTTGCTTCTTTTGCTTTACGCTTTTTGCCACCGGGCGGCAGATTTGCTTTCGAATGGTGTTTGATTCATGTCGATGCGTTGTCTAGAAGCGTAGATATGGACGGAAATGTGAAGAGCATGTAAAAAATAACTGTTCTGAGGGCGTTGTTGGATGCAATTTGGGTGATACGGGGTCAATACGGGTCAAAGGGGTCAGTCCCGGTCACTTTGGGTCAGGCCAGGTCACATAGGTCACCTCCGTCCGATGGGATCAGCCCGGGCCACTGGTCTACTTTTGCCTCCACCACTACCCCTACCACTACCCCTACCCCTACCACTACCCCTACCACTACCCTACCACTACTCCTACCACTACCCCTACTACTACCCCTACCCCTACCCCTACATCTACCACTACCACTACCCCTACCCCTACCAATACTACTACCCATACTCCTACCCCTACCACTACCCCTACCACTACCCCTACTACTACCCCTACTACTGCCCCTACCACTACCCTACCACTACTACTACCCCTGCCACTACCCTACCCCTACCACTACCCCTACCCCTACCACTACCCCTACCACTACCCCTACCAACACCGCTGGGTCATGTCAGGTCACAGAATAATTGGATCCAATCAGTACTAAAATATCAGACTTAAAGTGTTCCCAGCCCTGCCCCTATTCGTGCCATTCCATTACGCTTAATCGTATTTGTCGGAAATGGCGCTTTGTGACAAATGTGGCGCATTGCGGCAAACGCGGCGCATTTTCACCCGGTGATTGAGCAAGCATCTTTGCACCAAATTGCACCCATATCGGACCATATTTGACAAAACTGTGCGATTTGCGGCAAAAATGACGCCCTGAGATAATTGTGGCGCATTGCGGCAAACGCGGTGCATTTGTAAACTCGTATCACAAACTGCTCCCATTGAAAGAAAATCAACACATTCTCTGGCCACTTTTTATTCAAATTAAAACTTGCCCATCCGCCAATGCGAGGCACCCGCCGCCGATCGGCATGCATTTAGTTCACAAAATTTGTCGACCCCGGCTCTCAATGAAGATATAAGAACCGATCAAAATTTCATTGGCGTTCTTCCAGCGCGCCCCACGCGCGAACCGTGCACCCCAGCGAGTCGGAACCTAGGAAAGGCGCTGACCCGCTCTGTCACCTAGAAGGTGTGCAAATTTCAGCCCCCTACGCCGTACCGTCTGCCCTGTAGCCGTAACAAATTGAACCCACTACACGATGTGCGGACACACAAACAGACAGACAGACAGATGGATTCTGTTGGAATAGTAAGTTAGATGAAAGGATGAAATTTTCATGTCACCCGCCGCTTTTTCCATTGCTATAAGACGAAAAAGTATGTTCGCGTAATTACTTTCCACCCTGTACATAATAGGTACATATCAACCGTCATATGGACGATTTCGGTATCATATCCGTGACTGACCCGTCGTTTCCTGGCGGCCCGTTTGGCCTTAGTCTCGTTGGTGAAGGCGGGCAGGGCGGGCAGCTCGCCCGAGTCGATGAGGCCCTGCACCAACTGCCGCAGCCGGTCCTCGGAGTCGACAGAGGCGCACGGCACGCGGTCCAGCAGGCCGCCCATGTCACCGTCACAGGCCAGGTAGGCGGCACGCACGTCCTCCACCTCCTCCGCCGAGCCTGCCGACAGACGTGGCTCGTCATCGTAGTGTTTTACCGGTCACCGACGCATTCGGAGAAAGATCGGAGAAGGGTGAACTTCAGGGAAAAAATCGTAAAACCGACAATGGCAAAAAAACTACATGGTTGAGCACTGTTGAACAGTCGACCGTTCTCCGTTTCGGTTTGTCTGCATGCAACCGATATGCAAGTAAAACAAAAAGTAATGAGGCCGTGTCCGCATATGCTTATCAAGTCATATCTTTTTACCCAGAAGTTGCGACAACTCACCGACATACTCCTTCTCGAACCTCTCGATGTCCTGTATGGTGAGCGGCTTGAAGAGCAGCCGCCAGTAGTCGGCCCAGTCGCGCTCCTGCTCCACAGGGTCGTCGTCGTCGACGCAGCCCGTCTCGTCGTAGACGGCGCGCCGGTCTCGGTCCGAGAGCACGCTGTATGCGCGGCCCAGCGCCTGGAACTGTTCGGTGGCGCGCTCCTTCTGGGAGGCGCTCACCCGGTCCGGGTGCACCTTCAGCGACACGTGGTGGTAGCCCTTCTTGACTGGATAGAGAGGCAGAAACAGACGTGGTAGGTTAGGTTAAATAATAGCTTAATTCAATTTTGGGACAATATGGAGCAAGTGGCAGGCATGCAGTTCCAACCTCAAACCATCATTTTTGACGATACTGGGTGGAATATTTCTGACAATAATTAGGCTTCTAGTGATAACCTGAAGCTATATTACAAACCTTCTTCCATGACTGGTGCAAGCAGACACTGTGTATATTGCATTACACTGGTTGAATGAGCAGGCAATATGTGGGTACTCACTTTGCTTTTCAGAAGCATCCTTTGTCAAGCCAAAAATGGAATACAAGTCATCCTTTCCAAACAACTCCTTGCATTCTCTAGAAAAGACATTGCAGTTCTTCTGTGTCCTTTTGTGGTTACAGGGGCACTAGTCACCAGGTCACTACACTTTTAATCTTCTTCCTCTCCGGTTTTCTGCTTGCTCTTTGGTGGTCAACTCAGTTTACCAGCAAAGGAAGGAAAACACCAAAATAAGCAGCTGCTGAATGAGGTTTCCTGATAAAGACAAAACAGTGTCACTAGTGAAACCAGAGAGATAGTTTAAACAGGCAAACTAATACTTAAACAATGACTACCAAGCCTGAACTGCTGAAGTCTGAACACTGAACCAATGATTACTGAACAAAACCACGGACATCTCAACTGGAATAAGAGAACACTGAGCCAATGGCTATTGGGCCAAGCCAGGGGGGTATTAGTAGAGCAGACGTCACACGAAGGTTTTCCAACCAAGGAGAGGTGCTATGCCTGGAGGTACTTCTTTCTAACAAAACCTAAACAAACCTAACCTAACCTGACCGAACCTAACCTACAACCTACAAACCTACAACCTAAAAACCTACAACCTACAACCTACCCTACAACCTACAAACCTACAGCACCTCTCCTTAGTTGGAAAACCTTCGTGTGACATCTGCTCTACTAATGCCGCCAGGGGCACCTGAACTGGGACAACTCATCCCTGAGCCAATGACTTGAAGTATTAAACCAAGCCAGACACTTGAACCAGAGGCTGTTCACAGACCCTGTGTGCGGTCGGACCGCACACAGCCTCCAAGCTCCGCCCACTGCGTCCCTACGTCAGCCTTGCGTCACCGCACACAGCGACCACTGTGGCCGGTCGGGACTAGCCACAGCGGACCGTCCACCGCACGCAGCCGTGACGTCAGAGCCGCCTACCCATCCCCTACCCCCACGCCTGCTGGACGCACCGCACACACCGCACGCAGCAGTGTGCGGTGCCCGTGAACACCCCTCTGAACAACTTAATAAAAACCAATGACTCATTATGAACCAGACCAGGGACATCACTCAGACAGCTGAACCAGAATTTGTGATAGGTATTCCTAGCATTCAATGTAGGTCATAGGTTTGTCTCCACTGTTGGAAAACCTTCGTGTGACGTCTGCCCTACTAATACCGGTGCTTACACCTCAACTGAAATGCTTCTGAAAATAATAACAAATTTGTAAGAAAGCAAACATGTTTCATGCTTGATAGTTTAAATAAAACTCAACAATCTGATAACCGGCCGATTTGAATTTCACTAATTATTCATTTAATTTAAACATATTTCAAGATGATGCTGTTACTTCGTTTAACCATTTTCTATCGATAAAAACATTATACAAAAATAACAAACAAACTGACCCAGCCTACCAAACACAAACGCCCGAGAAGCCCAATCAAGAACATACACAAACTCAGGGGGGTTCGCTCCCGTGCCTTCAGCATTACGAAAAATGGCAACAACCCGTGAGCAGCATCAGCGCTCACGCACATGTTCAGGGAAAATAACGTGTAATGGACTGCTAACGACGGCCCTCTCCACCAATCAGCGTTCGGCATCTCGAGCGCTGATTGGCTGGTAGCAAACGCGTCATATGTGGGTCTCATTTTTTGCGATCAGTGAATGCGTTATTTAATACACAGTGGCCTATGGAGAATGGCACGCGGAATTGAAGGTCAGTGTTTTATTGCTTCGTATATGCGAATGGGGGTATCTGAGTGGCATTTGACACCATTTTCGAAATCTACAGTTAATTTCTGATCGAGTCATGTATATATTTTTATGAATTTGGCAGTATTAGTGCTATATAGTCGGTGTTTTATGTTGGTGTTGTTTCTCTCGACCTTTGTCTTGGACTTTTATCATATCTTTTCTCGAAAATGCTTGCCATAACCAGGTCTAAACTGTATCTTTATAAAGGAAATATGTGTTGAATATGAGGAGAAAGTAGTAGTGACCATTCTGCCTATCAAACTGCCAGAAGGTGTGCTTGTAAGGTGATTGAAACTGTAGTACGGGTTGCAGATGTGGGTTTGACATTAGCATTGTTGTTGTAACCCCACTTGCTCTAATAAAATGGCAACATGGGGTTATGTACACACTATTGCACAGCCTGGTATCAAGCTGGTTGATTTGTGGAGGATAATGAAAGCGTAAAAAACTTTTCTTAAGTGAATAGGAGCGCTGCATCTTGTGACTTATGTCAGGTCATTTTAAATCAAATGATTGTGATTGTAAATTTTACTTCAATTATTATTGCGACTTTTGACCTTTTAAATCATCAAGTTTTATGTGTACCAATTTCATATGCCTGTGTTATGTCTGTGCGGCTTTGTGCAGTGTGCGTGTCTTGAAACAAACCAATTTATTTTGTACCTTTTTGTACTTCAACAAATGAATGTCAAAGGACAAAAATGTCATGTCTATTATCATTGACAATACTACAGCTAACTTTGCCTGTATTCCTATCTTTCAGAGGCATTTAATTCAATCTACTTTCCAGTGCAGTACCTAGGAGGCTGCAACTGAAGCTCGCACAAAGGCAATCAAGTGTCACTTCATCAGCCTACAGCAACAGCCCATCTGTAATCAAAATATGGATGAAGTGGCATAGAAGAACAACCAGTTCAAACATGAAAAAATGTAATTTGTTTTGGACTATTTCTTAGCATAACAGAACAGCACACTTGCTGCTTTTATGTTTGCCCTGTGTGCAGTTTTAAATAATTTTAACTATGAAATGCTTTTGCCAACTCTTCTCTTTACATAAGCTTCCTTTGACATGCATGTGTAATTTTGAGTTTACATGCATGATGTAGGCATATTTCCCTTGGCTTCATAAAACTACTTTGCAAGCTTTTGTTATGGACATTGGTGCTACCTATATTATATGATGCTTCAGATGTGTCCAGTAGTTGATGAAGGAAGAAGAGGAGTAGGACAGCTGCCAAAACCAATTTTTTAATCAGGCAAATCCACTCATAGTGGCTATTCCTTGCCATCAGTCAAGTTGTGAAATGCAGTGAAAAGCTGATAGCTATTACCAAAAATATGGGCTTGTCTGCACTTCGGGCTGTTCCATCATATGCAACCTCTATTTACTTCCTTCAGTTAAAAACACCTCATCTTTTGTTTCTTTCCTGTGTGGCCATTGTTTCCGTGGTGCTATAAACGTCAAGTTTGAAGTTGGTATCCAAGTGAGCAAAATGTGCATTATTTCAGTCCGTCTTGAATCATTCGTCTTGAATTATATCCCTAACTGACATCCTGTTATTTGTCGTGCAATGTCTGTGCCTGTGTCCGCCCTTACCTCCGGCTCCAGCCTCCAACCAGCCCTGCTGAGCTCTGTCGCCGGCGCGGTGTGTCGCAACGTGCTGTTTCTCCACTCCAGCCAACAGCTGCTAGGAATCGTCCTGTGCCATATGCGCCATGCGACACAGCAATTGTAAGCTGCAGGTCACATTCGGACTGATTGGCTCCGCATATGTGCATCCGGCCGAGTGCTAGTCGATATCAGGGACGTGGGTCGGACTGTTGTGGCGGCGTGCACTGTGCTGGTTGAAGTTGTTGTATTTCTGTTAGTGAAAAGCATTAATACATAACCATGGCCGCAGCCCAATGTTTTTGTGGATTTCAGAGGGAGTGGCCAGTCAGGAGGGCCCCATGTGGGTATGGATCCAGTGTCCAGTGGGATTGGCTAAGATTTCCGGCGATTGATATAAACGCTTCTATGATGATAGTAAACCTATGATCAATACGACATTCGTGAGCTCTTGACTTGTATTATCGAAAGACAACGGTACAGTCACGAATGTTCCGGGCTCATATCTGAAACAGAGATAGGTTGGCATTACCATACAGATGAGAGATAACACATACCACTCTGCATCCCCTCCAGTTTCTACCCGAAAACTCAACGAAAGATACAAAACACGATCCACCTACAGGTATGGTTCGCAGCTCACGTACACTCGTAGTCATCCAGGTACGCTGGACGACGTCGCTGCCGGGGCGGCAACACAGGCGGGTCGTCGGCGAATACGGGCGAGTGACCGACAAGTGGCGTCGCCGGCTCGACGTTGTGGGGGGCGTCCCAGTTGTCGGCAGGGCGAGTCACGGGAGTGCGAGACGCTGTCGCCTGGTCGTCGCCCCGCGGAGAGGTGGTGGGCGGGGGGAGCGGGGAAGATGCGGCGGCAGGTCGGGCAGCTGACGGTGACGTCGGAGCGCCGCGGGGAGATGCGGCGGCAGGTGGGGAGCTGACGGTGACGTCGGAGCGCAGGGAGCTGCGGCGGCAGGTGGGGGAGCCGACGGTGGCGCTGGAACACAGGGAACGGTACAGTCACGAATGTTCCGGGCTCATATCTGATCTGAAACAGAGATAGGTTGGCATTACCATACAGATGAGAGATAACACATACCACTCTGCAACCTAGTCCTATTGAGCTATGAGGGGAGGTGACGTGAGGGACCTGACCTTACTAAACTCTTGTGAAAACACGACACATACGAACGGTAAGAAACCGACAGCTATTCTTTCTGCCAAGTGTCATCTTTCTGTGAAGGATTTCTTGGCACTGAGTGTTCAAAAATTGCGTTGTTTTTGGACTGTGTAGAGGCTCACGAGCGACAACATAGGTCAACAACCTGACGTACCTTAAATATGCGACTTGTACCAGAAGATCCAACTTGATCAAAAGACTGGACATGTCAAATTTCAGCTCTTTAGCTCAAAAGAATTTTGAGCTGTCGTTAAAACCGTCAGTGTGGCACCATATTGCCTCCCTGCGCGATCGGAAGGTAAAAGTTCGCCGTCTCTAACTAAACAAATAGTCGTCGTATCGCAAATTCAATGACGGCGTTCGAAGCGTCGTTCAATTTACTTTCGAAACATATCCTAACATTAACATTTAACTGCCTAGCGCAATCTCCAACAAGCAAAAGTTCCGTGCATTCATCCTCATACAGTGTTAGCGGCCGCCGGCCGCTGACCCACATTCGCGTCATCAGGGAATGCCGCAACTAATTTATTGTTTCCAACTTTTTTCCCGGAGCGGTCTACCTGGTTTATATAGCCTTGACACAAACTGAAACGAAATCATTCGATTGGCGCCAAAAGAGTAATGTTTATAGTAGACAAGCAAAAATAAAGATTGATGACGTAATAGATTTAAGCAATTCTAGTGACATATAGTTTAAATGAAACCGAGAATAGCTGAACACCGAGGACAAAAAGATCTAAAAAAGACCGATAATGCTCATTTCTTTTTTTAGTATTATATCAAATATCATTTGACGTTTGAACACATGTCTAAGCCTTACTGACCATACATACTGATGACGTCATCAGACTCAGAAATTTAGACGAAATACATATGACCACTCAATATTGTGTCCACTGAATGAACGAATGAGTGAATGAATGAATGAATGAGTGAGGAGTGAGTGAAGAAAACGTACATTATCATTATACGAATGATTGAATCAATGCATGAGTAAATAGGTGAAAGAAATGACCGCTATAATGTAAATATATGGGCATCTTACATGGAAAATCATGCAAAAAGCTTCGTGAGAGATGATATATTCAAAAGAAGTGTTTCGAGCACATGAAACGCTTCACGAGCGTTACGCTAGGTTAAAAGACGATGGCGGCAAGGCTGTCGTTCAGGCGCCATTCTCTGGGTCCCACCGGTCCCACCCCACTACTTCTCAATCCGGTCGGGTCTTGGCACGTAAACTCTTACTTCGCCGGACAGGGCCAAAATTCGCTCACGCACCCAGGCACACAGATATACGGAAACACGTCGCATCAATGCCCTCTCTCTCTCCGCTGTATCACCACCGGGTGCAGCAATGTCACCGTCGCATTCCCACGCTACCAGATAGAGTGTACATTGCCCTAGCGACAGCAGGCGCTCTACCCCAGCTCGGCCGCGGCTGCACCCGTCCGACTCACCCCAACGACTCTGGCTCCGACTCCGCCTACTCCCCCGTCGGAAGTCAGCTCAGGTACACAGACTCCCTGACCAGCGCGACAGTCGAACGCTGCAGCTACCAACATTTCCTTCACGCAATGACGTCACCAATCACCCTCAGCGCACTGCGCAGGCGCCATCACGTGACTCGCCACAGACCGGTAAAATGATCAGTCCGAACGTCACGAAAACAACAAACAGCAATTCCATATCAGGTTATACCGAAATCGAATTCACTCGATGACTAAAACGGCAGTGGATTGTGACAAAACAACGTTTCAGCTACATAACACAAATAATGTCAACGACATTTGGCCTTTGGATTTCGCACATCCTCCCTCGATGCAGACAGTCGTCCCCGACTCCCCATTGCTAACATAATCAGTCTACCCCGGTAATATCGCCCCCTCGGAGCCCCCCGCCCTCCCTACAGCCATCTCAGGAACACACTAAGCTCGGACTCGCGTCAGACGCGGGCCGGCTCGCCGTCTTTTGTTAGCATCACCACTAGCGTCACCACTGACAGCGTCCGTCCGTTTAACCGGCGGCACCTTTCACACTATCGCACGTGCTGCCCGACTACGTCACAATGAGCTAACCACCCGGCGGCGGCGGCGGCGGCGCGGCTTTTGGATGGAGGCGGGGAGCGCCGCGCCGGTCCGACCCCGGTCAGTGCTCCTTCTTCTGGTGGGCGCTGACGGGAGGGAATCTCACGATGCGCAGCTCGGAGCCGTAATCACAGACGATGGCGTCCCCGACGGGCGTCATCTGGCGGACAAACACCGAGCTGTCGCGGTCGCCCAGACGCACCAGGCGCACTGGCTCGCCGAGCTCCAGGTCCCACACCATCAGAGAGCCCTGCCGGAGGTCAAGTCGGGTCAGGTCAGGACACACATTATCAGAGAGCCCTGCCGGACAGGTCAGGTCAGGTCAGGGCACACACCATCAGAGCCCTGACGGAGGTCAGTTCAGGTCGGCGGTAAAATCACAATATCGGAACACCCCGAGGTCAGCTTAGGGCAGGTTAGGCTACGCACACAGAGCCCTGCATGAGGTCAGGTCCAACAAATATCATCGGAGTCCTGCAGGTCAGGTCAGGTCACAGCCCTGCTGGTCAAGTTATTCCAATTCACCGTACCAGGCAAGAATGATGATAAAAGTCGGAACATAACGATTGGTTTACCACAGCAGACAGAATCACAGCGTTCACATATACAGCACAGCCAAATGTCATCGTCCATTAAAAATCACTTGACCACGCCTCCCGAGCCCTCTTCCTTGCCCCCCCCCCCCCGCGGCGTCATTTCGGAGCTGACCTGTCTGGAGGTGACGAACAGGTTGCTGGTGAGCAGGATGACCTGGCTGCAGTAGGCGTGGCTGAGCGCGATCTTGCTGATGAGGTGGCCCTGGAAGCGCTCCCAGACGCAGAGCCTCTCGTCGCCGCCGGTGCTCAGGATGTAGGAGGCGTTACAGTTGAGCGAGGTCACCGCGCCGTCGTGCGCCGGCACGCTGTACAGGCACAGACCTGCAGAGGGGAGGGGCGGAGTGTAACAGCTCAGTGGTCCATAGAGTCAGCAGGTCTAACGAACAACAGCATCAGATAGACGGCTGAGCTGGTGCAGTCGACGGGGAGTGATTACGGAGCGAGCGAAGCGAGCGTAGTCTTTCCTTAGATTAACGGAAATTTCTGAGTATGAGCGGCCGGCCGGCCGGCCGGCCGGCCGTGGTCACGCTTTTGCGAGGCTTATATCTCAGCAACCACTTGACCGATTTACACGCGGTAATTTTTGTAGGGTAGCTTCATTCCTTCTACCAAGTATTGGACTATTCCTGATGCATGTGGGTGACCCCTTATGCACGTGCCACGTGCAAAACGAAGAGGTTTCCGTTTTGTAATTGTTGCAATATCTCGGTAACTACTTGGCCGATTGCGCTGAAAGTTGGCATGTAGGTAGGCACCCACTAGGCACTGCATATCCATGTGCCACAGTTGGGGTGCTGCTGCACGTGCGCACGGGCAGGGGTCGTTTCCAGATCTCGAGAACGGCTCGACCGATTGCGCTCAAATTTGGTACACAGTTAGGGACCAGTTAGTAGGGTGCCGTGCACAATAGGGTGTGTCGACAGAGGGGTTTTTCTCACAGATTCGCGTTAGACAAAGATATAAATTGGCGGGAGCATGCCAAAACACTAGCCCTGCAGTTGGTTTTGCGTAAAAATGCGATTTGACGAGGCTCGGGCAGGTCGAAGTTACAGCGAAAAAGTCGCAGTCGACGGTGCTGCCACCTACATTGCCAATAACGGGCACTATCATATCGTTATAATTGGGGTAGTTTCAAATGAGAAATGACTTCTATTTTTGTTCAAACTGCTTAAGAAGAAATAAAACAATTCGGAAACATACATTTTTCCCAAATATCGCGTTCCATTTTTTCCTGTTGAGTTGTTAGGAAAGTGGTAAATTTCAAGGTTGACGGCTAAAAAACGAAACAGGAGGAACAGAGCAGGAATCACCAAGACGTGCGCCGCGCCGATGCTGTAGCCTGTAGATAAGGGGTGAGCAACAGAACCAGCATACCTAACGATTTTGATTAGTGATAGATATTTTTCTCTAAATGAAAGACTATTAGTAACTCAGGCAAGCCTTCTAATATAGGTATCGACAGGGTTGCGGTAAAAGGTACAATCGATGGCACATTACAATTATTCTGAGTTGGGAAACAACACTCTTCAGATACCTACCATCAACAACCTCACTATCTCCTATGTGGGAGCTATTTCATCTGATTCCAGCGCCCTGAAAACGAACAGGTTATCATCAAAAATCTCTGTATTAGCGCCTACCGACATATGCTGAATGACGCTATCAATACCCAACATTTGTAAAAGGTGATTCGCCACACAGCCCGCCGGCGTCGGAGGGGTTGAATCAGTGAGCCAGATTGCCAGCGACTCACCGCTGAACTACCGGGCGTAACAAAACGGACGATGCGACATGACTCAGAGATCATCACAGACGCGACGGTAAGCCGCCAACAGCTCCTCTGATGTACCTATGCTTTAAAAATGTTGGCCAAAATTTAAGATCTATCTAACATTTGGGTTTTCGGTTTTTCTAATCCCCTCTATTTCACGGATTGCTTGAAAAAAAGCTAGAGGGTTTCTTTTTACCGATGTCAAGTGGTTTTAGTTCAAAAGATTGGTGGTGCTGCTACTGGCAACAGTATTGGCGCAATATAACCGTTCTTTAGTCACCATGTCAATAATATTGACACAATCAATGACCACCGACTCTCACTGAATGTGTCTTCCTGTGTTCCGCAGGAAGCTGAGCTGTGACTGACTGGCCATTGCGTGTCATCAGTTCGGCCAGTAGCGGCGGAATACCTTCAATTAAGCCGACTTTTGGTCCCATTCATTCCATGCAACGCCCATAGGGCTAATGTTAAAATGACAAAATCAAAGGGGGCACGGTGCCGCGGTGCCCTCCCCGTTCCGCCGCCTATGAGTTCGGCTTGACAAGGGAACCGCGAGGTGGCAGATAGCGATATTACGTATCTGAACGAGGGTTCCGCACGAGCTCAGATGGGGCGGGGTGGGGCACGACACCTGGCGGGCTGCTGGGATCGTGCTCACGATCGAGCCCCTGCTGCCCGCCCGCGCGCCGCCGTGGGAGGTGGCCGCCTGCCCACACGTCACATTCTCCCTGGACATCGGAGCGTTGCGGCGGGACGCCTCACCTGACGAACTGCACCAGGCGGCGCAGAGACACCTAGCGTCCCTCCCCCAGCAAGCCATCTGGGTTTGGACGGATGGGTCGGCGGATGCGGGAGTCCGCAGCGGAGGAGCAGGAGCCTTTGTGGAGTGGCCGGACGGTGCAACCGACGAGCTACGCGTCCCTGCCGGTCAACTCTGCTCGAGCTTCAGGGCGGAGATGGTCACACTCCGCGCGGCCCTGAACCACCTGCGCGACCACCCGCACCAGCCGAGCGCGCCGATCACCATCTGCTCGGATTCGCAGTCGGCCCTCGCGACGCTGAGAGAGGGCCCGGCGTCCCAGAAGACCCTGCTAGGAGCCGCCATCTGGACCGAACTAGCGGCCCTGGCCGGTCCGTCCCGCCGGATCCACCTACAGTGGGTGCTGTCCCATTGCGGCGTCGACGAAAACGAGCGCGCCGACCCAGATCGCCAAGGAGGCGACCGCGCTCCCCCAGGCGGCGGTCCCGGTGGACGTCGCTACCGCCCACCGCGCGGCCGCCAGACTGGCCCGCGACCGCACCATCGCCGCCTGGCCGGAGGGCTGGTACCGGACCCTGATGGAGAACCGGCTGCCGCCGCCGGCCGCGACGGGGGACAGATCGTCGGCCGTCGACGTCCATCAACTCCGCGCGGGCCACTGGTCAGGATCCCGCCAATACCTTCACCGGATTGGACGGAACCCTTCCGATGATTGCCGCCAGTGCCCTGACACCGACTGTGCGGCGGGCCGGTGCACCGTGTGCCGGGAGGAGGCCACACGCCCCGGCACTTCTTCTTCCGGTGCCCGGCCCTCATGGGCTGGCATCTCCGGATGTACGGAACGATTTTCCTGAACCCGGAAGACGTCCGCGACGACGGAGAGGTGGCGGCCCTGGCGGTCGCCGTGAGGGACCTCCAGAGCCGCACGGCTACACCGCGGTGACGCGGCTGGAGGGAACACACAACAACAACAACAACAGCTCAGATGGCCTTCGGTTACATTTTTCGTTGCGTCTGTGATGATCTCTGAGTCATGTCGCATCGTCCGTTTTGTTATGCCCGGTAGTTCAGCGGTGAGTCGCTGGCAATCTGGCTCACTTATTCAACCCCTCAGACGCCGGGGGCTGTGTAGCGAATCACCTTTTACAAATGTCGGGTATTGATAGCGTCATTCAGCGTATGTCGGTAGGCGCTAATATAGAGATTTTTGGTAATAACCTGTTTGTTTTCAGGGCGCTGGAATCAGATGATATAGCTCCCATATAGGAGATAGTGAGGTTGTTGATGGTAGGTATCTGAAGAGTGTTGTTACCCAACTCAGAATAATTGTAATGTGCCATCGATTGTACCTTTTACCGCAACCCTGTCGATACCTATATTAGAAGGCTTGCCTGAGTTACTAATAGTCTTCCATTTAGAAAAAATATCTATCAGTAATCAAAATCGTTAGGTATGCTGGTTCTGTTGCTCACCCCTTATCTACAGGCTACAGCATCGGCGCGGCACACGTCTTGGTGATTCCTGCTCTGTTCCTCCTGTTTCGTTTTTTAGCCGTCAACCTTGAAATTTACCACTTTCTTAACAACTCAACAGGAAAAAATGGAACGCGATATTTGGGAAAAATGTGTGTTTCCGAAAAGTTTTATTTCTTCTTAAGCAGTTTGAACAAAAATAGAAGTCATTTCTCATTTGAAACTACCCCAATTATCACGATATGATAGTACCCGTTATTGGCAATGTAGGTGGCAGCACCGTCGACTGCGACTTTTTCGCTGTAACTTCGACCTGCCCGAGCCTCGTCAAATCGCATTTTTTCGCAAAACCAACTGCAGGGCTAGTGTTTTGGCATGCTCGCGCCAATTTATATCTTTGTCTAACGCGAATCTGCGACTATCGACACACCCTAGTGCACAAGTCAGTTGGGACCCATTTTGCACGTGCGCACGTGCAGAGCGCCGCTTCCAGATCTCGAGAACGGCTGGGCCGATTGTGCTCAAATTTGGCACATCGCTAGAGACCGGTTAGTAGGGTGCCGTGCACAAGTCAGTTGGAGGTACCCCCTCGAAATTTCGCACGTGCAAGGCCCACCCTCTCGCTCGCTCCGTTAGTCGCCCCAAAAGGCGTTATACTGGTTCTTAGCAGCTGCCAGTATTCACACAGCTCGAAGGATTTGATGGAACGATAACTTACAGCCGAACAGAATGATAACACGAAAAGGTTTCAGCGTTGCGGTGTACCGGGCTAGCAACCGTGCTATTTTTTATTTATATAATTTTCCATATTGATACTCAGCATTATATGTATGCCCATTGTCCTTTGTATACAGACTGGGATCTTACCTGACGTGAGATCCCAGACGGACAGAGTGCCCTCTGCGCTGCCCCCTCCCCCTGCACAGTGTATACAGACTGGGATCTTACCTGACGTGAGATCCCAGACGGACAGAGTACCCTCTGCGCTGCCCCCTCCCCCTGCACAGTGTATACAGACTGGGATCTTACCTGACGTGAGATCCCAGACGGACAGAGTACCCTCTGCACTGCCCCCTCCCCCTGCACAGTGTATACAGACTGGGATCTTACCTGACGTGAGATCCCAGACGGACAGAGTACCCTCTGCGCTGCCCCCTCCCCCTGCACAGTGTATACAGACTGGGATCTTACCTGACGTGAGATCCCAGACGGACAGAGTACCCTCTGCACTGCCGCTGCCGGCGGTGGCCGGTTCGGACCGACAACGGTCCACGAACAGCGCGGTGACGGTACCATAGTGGCCGTGCAGGGTGTGGACGGGAGAACCGTCCTCCAGCCGGGTCACCTGGCGGGGCACGGGGTCAGGTCAGCAGGGGGGGGGGGGGGCGAAAGGTCACTGGAGAGGTCAGCGTGGGTCACCACAGTCTGACGTGGGTCGGGGTAGAATTACCAAGTCTGCGCACAACAAACACTGTTTGAATACGAGACTTTCGGTAAATGGTTAGGTAGAACTAGAGCAAAACGTCCTTAGCATGTTTACATAAGTGTGTTATGGTCTGACGGCAGAAAAAATGACATGATCGTCCAGAATCAGATCGTCCGTTCATCCAAACCCATGCCTCCTTCCCTCCTCCCCCCCCCCCCACCCCGTACACCGCCCCGTCCCCCGTCCACGGACCCTGAGCATGTGGTCGAGGCTGCCGGTGACGATGCGGCCGCCGCAGCACTCCAGCACGGTGATGAGCTGCTGGTGGGCGCGCGCCGTGCTCAGGCCTGCCCAGCGCAGCTGGGTGACCGCCTCCCAGCGCAGCTCGTCACCGCCGGTGGGCAGCCGCGGCCGGCTGCAGCTGTAGTAGCCCCAGTCGATCGGGACGCCCTGCTGCACCGCCTGCATCGTTAGGATGTGCACCGTGCCGTTGAAGCGCGCCACCACCAGCCGCGCGCCCACCAGACGTACGTGCGTCACCGGCACAGCTACCTCCGAGTGCACCAGCTGAAAAAAACAGACAGATTGATGGTTAGAATATGGTCAGGGTGGGGGTGAGCTAGGATCAGAGATCGTTGATGGAGGTATCTCACTGAATTCGAAACTCTTCCTGATGGGGAATAATTTCTAAAAAATGCCAGCAGTAAGTACTTTGAAGACACTCCATATTTCCGTCAACACTGTGTTTCATCTCAAAAACGCATCACTCATCTACGTAGTCCACAATATCTTAAAACCTATGGCACTCATATTTCATAACCCACAGTCCTAAAAACCCCACCGATTTGGCCAACATCCAACAGACCCAAACATCCTGCTGATCGTCCTACGTACCACCTACCACCGGATATCACCCCCGCCGTACCTTGAGCGCGCCGGTGGCGGCGTCCCAGACCTCCACCGACCCATCACTACAGCCGACCGCCAGCAGTCCATCGCTGCAGTCCATGCACCAGATGGCGCCACGCTCGGGCGGCGCGCCGGCGCGGTCCTCGTCGCGCGCGGCGCCGGCCACCGCGCTGCCGGCGCTCCACACGCGCCGGTGGGTGCGCCGCGGCGCCGGCGCCGGGCCGGGGTCCTCACTCGGCTCCCGCGCCGCCAGGAAGCGCGAGAAGTCGTACGGCGCGTCGGCGGCGGCGGGCGCCGCGGCCGGCCGCGAGGAGAAGGTCAGGTCGACGGTGGGCGTCAACTGGTGGTCGGACTGCGCCAGTTGGGGGGTCGAGAGACGCTTGGCCATCTGCTCCAGGTGCCGCTCACCCTACCGGGGGCAGAGGGAAGGGTGGAGGTCAGCGAGGGTACCTATCATTCTGGTCAGGAAGGTGAAGCAAAGGGCGATGTTTGAATAATAGTAGTCACTACTTGGATGTTTATGATTTGAACATAAACCGACACAACCAGCTATCAGCGTTATCATTTTGTACTTGAGATAATGCGAGATTTAATGCATTGGAAGCCTTTTCTAGCCAATTTGATACCATGATCCCCCCCCCCCCCTCCAGCACGCATGGACGCTAAGTGGCGTGCTACTGATACGTACCCTGCTGGGAGGCGATCCGCCCGACCCGTAGTCAGAGTGTACGTCCTCACGACTGGCGCGAGGACTGGGCGTCGCCGTACCGCGGTTTATCACCCTGGGAAGGAGCGGCATAGCGTCAGAAGGCGGATATCAACCCGTTCCATGGCTTTCATCTTCAAAATAATCAAAGCTTTCTCCTCCACGCTGCAGCCTCTGGTCCGCGCTGGACAGGCAACTCTTTATCTCATGCCATCGGCTCCCATTGGAGCGCACCGCAGCTCCTAAGTGAGCCCATACGTAGCCGGGTGCAGTGAGTGCTCCCTCCCCCTCTCACCTGATACAGTCTCCGGTGACGGCGTCCCTCCCCTAACCCATCTCCCTCTTCCCCCTCTCACCTGATACAGTCTCCGGTGTCGGCGTCCCTCCCATCTCCCTCCCCTCTCACTCTCTCCTTCCCTCTCCCCTCACACCTGACACACTCTCCGGTGTCGGCGTCCCTCCCATCTCCCTCCCCCTCTCACTCTCTCCTTCCCTCTCCCCTCACACCTGACACACTCTCCGGTGTCGGCGTCCCTCCCATCTCCCTCCCCCTCTCACTCTCTCCTTCCCTCTCCCCTCACACCTGACACACTCTCCGGTGTCGGCGTCCCTCCCATCTCCCTCCCCCTCTCACTCTCTCCTTCCCTCTCCCCTCACACCTGACACACTCTCCAGTGACGGCGTCCCTCCCATCTCCCTCCCCTTCTCACTCTCTCAGTTCCTCTCCCCTCTCTCACCTGACACAGTCTCCGGTGACGGCATCCCTCCCCTCCCCCGTTCACTCTCTCCTTCCCTCCCCCTCTCTCACCTGACACAGTCTCCAGTGACGGCGTCCCTCCCTTTCCCTCTCACTCTCTCCTTCCCTCCCCCCTCTCACCTGACACAGTCTCCGGTGACAGCGTCCCAGACGCGCACCTGCCCGGCCAGGCAGCAGCTGACCAGCAGCTGTCCGTCTGTCTGCAGGCACTCCACCTGCTGGGAGTGGCCGCTGAGCCGGAGAGGCAGAGCCTCCAGTACCACCTGCTGCTGGTGGTAGTCGCCGGCGCACTGACCGTCGGCGCCCCATGACGAGCGCCACTCGGCGTAGTTGCGCGAGCACACGCACCGGTACAGAACGACCAGGAGATAGATCTGAAGGGGGGGGGGGCGTCAGAGAGTTATCAGTACAGAACGACCAGGAGATAGATCTGAAGGGGGGGGGGGCGTCAGAGAGTTATCAGTACAGAACGACCAGGAGATAGATCTGAAGGGGGAGGGGGGCGTCAGAGAGTTATCGGTACAGAACGGCCAGCAGGACGTAGATCTGGAGGGGGAAGGGGGAGGTCAGTACTGAGCAGCCAGAAAGGTTCAGGCCAGTGAAGAAGCGGGGAGGTAGGATAAGACGTCGGGTCAGAAGTTAGGTGGGGTACAAGAATTACAGTGACAGTATCATATGTTATATCTTCTGGTCAAACTGAGAGGAACTTAAGCCCTGTGAAGCCCCACAGGATAAAGATACAAAATAATAGTCAAGTGCTTGATTGTCTAGCTGAACTAAACACCTGAGTTATTCAGCACACAATATGAAATTAATTGCTTCAGAAATAGATCCACTAATTGTTCTTCACAAAATTGGGACAACCAGAGATGTCCAAATAAGTACCTCACAATAATTTGAAGAGCCTTAGTATCATTTAAGTTTCAATACAGACCCTCTGTGAGGACCGAGCGCCTTGAGTGGTACTCGATTACAGCGCCCTTAAAACCAAATTATCATCGAGTGCTTCTCGATGAAAGCCACCTAACTCATCTTATCAAGACATAACCTCTTTATAATCGATAACAATCCAATAATGTTCAGTTGGGTACCAAAGCGCCATGGCCAAACGCTAACCAGTACGGTAACAGCAGACAGTCGAAACCCCCTCCCTTCCCGGTCCTCGACTCACTATGAAGGCGATTGACGGGAGAGCCAGTAGAACCACGAGGAACACCTCGAACGGCGAGGACGGTACGTAGGCGTAGTCCGAGCTCGGGCTGGGGTACTGCGACGGCTGGCCCGTCTCGTCAATGTCTGAAAACGAACAGAGCAGAGTCGTCAGCAATGCTGGAGGTTACGGTTCTACGTCAATGATTGAGGAGGATGAAAAACGGAAACATTATCTCGATATCTGTCGCTAAAACTATGCAAAAATATGAGATGTCCTTGTCTATTCCCGCCCAATTGCTTCTCCTGCAATGATTGAACGATACACCCCTCTCCCGTGACACTGTCACAAGCCAAACCAGGCTGTGCCTACCTGCAATCTCCAGCTGCCCAAGCGTCAGCGCTATCCGATCCACCACTCGGTCGGAAACTTCAGCGTCGCGCGGATGCCGCGCCTGCAGCGCCTCTTGCGGCGACACGGCCAGGCTCACATACACTGGTGGCAACACTGTCACGTAGCCGCCGCGCGTCGTCACGTTGTAGACTCTCATCAGGGACATCCAATGGAAGTCGTGCAGCCGGTGCCAGACGGCCGGGTCCCGATGACGGAGCAGCGTGAGGTCGTCATCGGTAGCGGCGGATGACGGCGGCGGCGGCTCGCCGGCCGTCAGCAGCGCCGCCGCCAGTTTCCCGGCGGCGGCGGCGGGGGCGGCGGCCGGGGCGGGGGCGGCCTGGTCGGCGGCCGGCGGCGGCGGCGCCACAGCAGCCAGCAGCTGGTGCACTAGGCCGCCGTTGTAAGCCAATAAGCCCATCCACGCCACCAGGAACACGGAGAAGAGACGCTGGAAGAAGCGACTGCGCGCCCACAGGTAGAAGAGGGTGAGCCGGCGCGGCAGACGGCCCAGCAGGCCGTCCATGCTGTACAGGGATTTGACCACGCTGGCCGGACCGCCCAGTGGCTCACTCAGCGTACCGGGCTGAAACGGAGACGGGTGAGAGCCGGTCAGACAGAAGCCATCGGGCGGGTCTGGCGGAGGTTAAAGGGTCAGGGGCAGCTAACGAGGTTGTCAAAAGGACTGGAGACGTAACGGGTCTGAGTATTGTTAGAGCCCAATACGAGACTGGTTTCACGGCGACGAAGGGAACGGTTCAGAATCCAGATTCTATAGGCACTGGCGGGGATGACAAACATGCGGTAGTAAAGAAGAATGCGGTAGTCAACTGAAATCCACAACGTTAATTTTGTACGGAGAAAGCTAACAATAATTGTCTTGTACGATCAATACTCATAAAAAATGATTACGCACCGCCACCTCTAAGAAGCAAAATGAAACGTAATAGCGTCGTCCGGAGCTAGTTGCCTATCTGTACGGAACTACATCTAAGCAGCAGGGACAAATTCCCGGACAACCACCCGGCCTCCCCTCCCGTCCCGTCCCGGCCCACTCACGTGCGACTGGGAGCGCTGAATCTGCACGCCGCGGGCGCCGATGGGGAAGCGCAGCCGCAGATCGGCGTAGCTCGGCTCACCGGCCGGCTCTTCATCTTCCAGTGCCGTCTGCAGGCTCGTATCGATACTCAGAGTCGCCGCGAAAAACCCAAGCTGGAGGAAGAAGTCGCAGCACATGCCCACGACGGCCAGCATGCAGAACTCCTGGATCAGCGGAATGAAGGTGAGGATGCCGATGGTGAGGATGGTGATCTCCAGAAACAGGTTCTTGGTGATATTCCAACCCTGGCGGCTGAGGCCCTGCGCGATGCGGATGCGCGGGTTGAGGTCGCGGGCCGTGTTGGACACAGACTCGGTGATGACCATGACGTTCTCGAACCCCACCACCACGATCAGGTAGGGGAAGACCTCGCGGCTGTTGAGCGTCTGCTGCAGGCCGTGGTGGATGAGAATGCCCGACGACATCATCAGTGTGGCGAACACGGTCACCAGAGCGCTCACAGACATGGCCAGCTTCGACTTGACCGACTCCATCTTTCTGACGGAGAAGTAGATGTAGATGAAGAGGATGATGTAGATGAGCGCCACCGGCAGCAGCTCGTAGACGCCGGTCCGCGCCGGGTAGAAGATGTGGACGTGCTCGCTGGACAGGTTGCCGTTCTCAGCGGCATGCAGAGGGTACAGTTCCAGCAGTCGGTGCCGTAGACCGGCCAGTAGCCTGGCGGGAGAGACAGCGATCAGGCGGTCAGTGGGTGCGCAATGTACACAGGGTGGTTTCACAAGAACCAGTATTGTAACAAATGCACGTTAAGTTTTGTGCGTCACGAAATACCGTCAACCACTAACACGTCAAATGCTGAAAAGAAAACATCTGACAAAAGAGCTGCAACATGTCAACTCCTCTTATCAATGACGGTAAGGAGTATCTACAATCTTACGTAGAATACGGTCTGCATTACGCCTCTTAACTCACTCTGGGTCATTTTTCCGCAGGACCACGGTGACGGCGTACGTGAGAAACCTCTGACGTTTGTAGATCCGCGTGAAGGCCGTCTCCTTGGCCGGGACGCCGAATACCAGATTCGAGACGGTCGTCTTGTAAAACCGCTCCTTCTGCAAAACCAGACAATCAATGTCGTATTTCCGCGTACGAGACAGCAGTGCGCATCTGAAAAACGCTACTGCGGCTTGCGAATATTACTGGAACGATTTCCGTAAATTGGGTAGATGAGCGCAATAAGCGACCACTTAAAACTAATTCCAGCGAATAGGAAAAAAACCTCCAGCGTGTGCCATGGAAATGCGAAAACGACGTAGTTCATGTCTGTCAGTACTTTCCCATGACAGAGACATTCAATGTGCAGTGCGCACTGCGCACCCAATTACAAACGAAGTTCTTTGCCTAAATCATCTGTGCGTCTTTACGAGATAAGAGCCATGTAGTTTCTAAAGCATTGCTCTAGGACGCGTGCTGTTGATTGTTGAGATATAAATGAAAAGTGAGACCACTATGTCAGTGGATTACATGATAATAAACTCACAAGAACGTTAAATTCCATTAACGCCGACAAAGCTGCTTTGGAGGACGCACAGTCATTCCATGATCATTTCAAGATAATCCGTGACCCATATACGCACCAAATTCCTCTTCCATTACATTACAAATACAATCACGGAAGCCTTCAATGAAGCAAACTCTACTACAGCCGCGTACGGCATAGTATCCGCATTACGCAATATCTGCTGCCGTGTGTGCGGGGAGCGGCCCACTGAGCCGATCTGAGCGGGGCCGGCGCGCACCATCTGACCATTGCGGGCCTCCCTTTCACCTAGTACCGGTCCCAGAGCGTCTGACAGACGCGCTGGCCCGACGCCAGACAGCGGCCACACATCAGTCAGTGCGACGCAGTATTTTCTACGCAGCTGACTTGACGGTTGTCACACACAGAAACGTGCGGTTATGTCAAACGAAACTCGTGACGGATCGCTAGTTTTAGCGTGAGTTATCAACACGATGTATCGTTTACTCACCGAGTGTTTAAAACTGTATGAAGGTCACATCCCGACAAGCAATCTAAATAAAAATCCGTCTCTTCCCAATCCCAAGCATCCAGCAACTGCAGTCTATTTCATCAACTACGCTGTAATCGACCACAACATTAGTTTGAGGAGTCGGTTTCCCACCCGCCTCGTCACCCGGCCCCGCACGTGACTGACCTGCTGTCTGACCACCGTCTCGATGATGTTGCTGTCCTGCTGGAAGGCGGCACGGTCGCTGCCCCACAGTACAGCCGGAGACAGCAACAGACACGTGTAGCGTGGGAAGTGGGTGTCGAGCAGTGCCGGGCTGCGGAACACCGGCTCCTCCGCGCGGAAACACAGGTCCTGTACCGAGCCGTTCCTGGTGGGAGGAATAGGGGGGGGGGGCAGTCAGAGGCGGGGGAGGTGATCAGGGACATGGGAGAAGGGAGACGGGGAGAGGTGGGGGAAGACAGGTAAAGCCGACCAGACAATGACTGTCAAAGACAGATAGACTGTCAGACACGAGAGGGCGGTCGGAAAGAGGCAGAAGCAACTGTCAATACCGATGAGAGGCTAAACACGGGAAGGGAAATGTAAGGTGCAAGAGTTATGGGAATCAATTAAAAGCCACGCCCCTGGGAGAAAATAATAAGTCGAGAAAAAATAAAAAAGTTAAAGAGTGAGAATTGTTCAGCAATCAACTTTCATCAGAATTAAAATAGATTCTACTCCAGTAAAAAGGAAGAAAGAAATAACATATTCGCTGCCCCATTGAAAAACCCACCGAAGCATATCCAGCAAGTCTGAAAAAGATCAAATACTGCATCTTTCCCCAAAGCATCTACCGTCGTCTCCTGGCGCGTGAGCCGTCCCCTAGAAGCATCCCACACTCAGTTAGTAACGCTTCCATCGTAATCACTCATTCCACGGTAGCTCAACCAAACACCAGCTTGCGCTTGTTTAATTAATGACTTCATCAGTAATTGGACCAGTCATGTCAGTTACGTGTATGTTGAATAATCTAAACAAAACCAAACACATTCCAGGCGCAACGACTGTGTCACCCTGGCAATTACATTTATTTTTAATAGTGTCGCAGGTATTAAAAAAAAAAAACGTGTCAGCTACGAAAATCACTAGGAGTCCCATTAAAGAAAGAAAAATAATGTGTTGTAAATGCCTCGGCATGAACTTCTTTCTTTGATTACTCCGGCTTCCATTTTTTTTTTTCTACTCGATAAAAAAAGTTCAGTTCGTCACCCACAAATAAAGAAATATCCTAAAGTTTGACAATGACCGTTGCCCACACCGCTCTCCGCTCCTCCAGCTCTCTCACCCGTGTTGAAAGTTGGCGATAGTCTCTGTGAGGGCGAACACGCGTGAGAGCGGCGCACGGTAGGCGTCCGTCAGAATCATATCCGACTGCCATGGAGTGACGGCGGCACGGACCAGCACCTGACGATGGACGGCGAGGGAACACTGTCACAGGCGGCTCATCCGACATAGACGCGGTCAATATAACGCATCGTGTGTAACTTCGGTGAGACCAAATGTAAATAACGAGGTTAATCTTCTCAGCATGCAGGAGTTGCGACATGACGTTACTAAGGAATCCTCTCACAAGTTATCAACAATCTGAGAATGCGATAACAATATTTATGGTAAACTATACGCCAATCGCCGTGTGCTTGTCGGATGAACTATCAGTAAACAAAACGCCAATCACCCCCTCCCCTCCCCTCCGGGCCCATGGCGACAGCATCCGGCTGAATCCGGCACCGACCTGCTGTATGTAGACGACCGGTTTCTCTCTGAACCAGACGGGCGCCGGCTGCGACGGCTCCTCGGCCGGGCCAGTCGTACGTAGCTCCTGCGGCGTGTTACTCGGTAGATGCATGTTCACCACCGGGATACTGCCGAGAGAACAGAGAGGGGTGATCTTTCAGAGCGTGTGTCTGTGGTAATGGTGGTACTCACAGAAGGAGCGCCTTAATACGTACTTGACTTGGTCTAACTGTTCAGTTCAGTTCAGTTCATTGTATTTTTTCCATATGTAAACAAGAACAACGAACAAAACAATAGAGGATTGGCGCAAAAGCAAAAAGCTTAAATCAAAGGCGCCTCTCCAATTAAGTTAAACAAAGAACACATGACCAAACCAAAGTATCAGAAAGCGTCGACCCCGCCCGAAACCCGCCGAGCCAAAAAAGCAGACAGTACCCGGCCCCAGGCGACGGACGACTCCAATCGGGCCAGCTTGCGTCATAGTGTCATGTTTTGTGTTTTGTAATGTAGTGTAGTGTTATGTAAGCAGTGTGTTGCATTAATATCAATGGTACTTAAATGCACTAACTAAACAGTTATGTTGTATTGGTAAACCGATTTGTCTCTACAATAAATGTCTGAAGGTGATGGGTGATTTGTGTGCCTTGATGCTTGTTTAAGTCTTTTGCAAAGAGAAGGGTATCAAGTTTTAATTTTGCTGAGAAATTGTCAAAATTTGGAGTGATGATTCGAACTGCATTTATAAGTTTTACTCTTTGTGTATGGTAAAGTGGGCACCAGAGTATGAAGTGAGTTGTGTTCTCATCGTGATAACCGCAAGCACATACTGGGCTGGGTGTGTTGGGGTGTTGTATATTGAACAGGTGTGCCTTGAGAGTCGTCATGCCCACTCTCAATCGTGTGTGTAGTGTGTTACGCGTTTGTTGCCGAAAGAAAAGAAAGTGGGTGGCTCTGGTGCCCCAAATCGCTGCCAGACTTGACGAGCAAAAGCGGAGCGGGATGAGGTGTTACGCAATGTGTCTGGGAGAGTATTCCAGAGTCTTATTGTCGAAGGAAAAAAGGCTCTATAGAAAGAAGTGAGATTGGTAGGGGGGAAAGTAAGAGATTGAGCATTGCGAAGTCTAAGTCCCGTGGCGTCTTGTCTGGTTTCTGTCAATATGTCTTTAATGTATGAAGGGAGAGGAGGATGATTGAAGTAAATTCTGTGAAAGAATAGAAGCTTATGAATTAATCGTCTTGTCTCAAGTCGTTCCCATCCTAGTTCGGTAAGTAATGCGGTAGTTGGTGTTCGATAAAGCGTCCCTGTTACAAGTCTGGCACAGCGGTTCTGAAGCGTCTGGAGTCGGATGGCGTCAGTTGATGTCAAATGTCCGTCGTAAACAATATCACAATAGTCGAAATGAGGTGTTATATAGGTAGAGTAAATGTTGTTCAAGACTGGTCTAGGAAGAAGCTTAGCCACGGGATATATCGGTCCTAGGAGAATGTTAATTGTCCGAATGACGTTATTGATGTGTGCGCGAAAGTGAAGGTCCGTCGAGAGTGTCAGTCCGAGATGTTTATGACTTGTCACGGTCGGTATGTCCTGCCCGTCAAATGTGAGTGCTGGAGGACAGCTGTCTCGTCGGTTTGTAAATGTCTGTTGTAGTGTCTTTTTAGCGTTGAAGGTGATGGCCCAGTCAGTCCCATATCGTTTAATCTCGTCCAGGTCGTTCTGCAAGGAGCGTCTATGATCCTGACTGTCGTGGGGATGGGAAGAGTAAAGTGAAGTGTCGTCAGCGTAAAAGAGAGCGTCATTTTTGGTCTTGTTTGATAGATCGTTGAGGTAAATTAAGGCCAGAAGAGGTCCAAGCACCGAGCCCTGGGGGCAACCGGATAGTATTTTTTGGGATGATGATAGACTGTTTCCAACACGAACAACCTGTTCGCGATCTGTAAGGTAAGAGTTAAGCCAGGCTAGCAGAGAACCGGAAATATTGCACTCGATTTTGCATTTTAAAAGGAGTCCATCATGCCAAATTTTATCAAAATATTTCGAGATGTCAAGATAGATAGCTGTAAAGTTTTGACTTTTGTTTAGAGCAGAGTATAGCTGGTGAGTTAGATACAAGAGCTGAATTTGTGTGCTATGGCCCGGACGATATCCACTTTGTTTTTCTGAAAGTAAGTTGTTTCCATTCAAATGAGAATATATCTTGGAAAAAACGATTTTTTCGAGAATTTTAGAGAGATTGGGAAGAAGACTAATAGGACGATAGTTTGTTGGATCTGAGCTAGATCCCTTTTGCTTGAAGATTGGAGTGACACAGGCTTTTTTCCAAAGTGAGGGGAACCTTCCTAGTTGAAGTGATTTGTTAAAGAGTTTGGACAGAGGTTCAGCAAGTAAAAGTGCACACATTTTTAATAATTTGTTAGGAATTTTGTCCGGGCCTGTTGCCTTGTTGATGTCTAAGGAATTTAGAATTTTGAGAACTTCGGGCTCGGTGACTTGGACATCCGTTAGCGGAGGAATAGGGGGAACAGGAATAGGGATTTCAGGCATTTGCAAGTTGTGTGTGTCTAGTCGAGTCTGGGATGCAAAGTGGTCATTTAAGATTGTCGCTTTGTCAAAGTCGTCTGAGATTGGTATGCCGTCTTGATTTATAAGCGGTGGCATGCTACGATGAGTCCTTTTTCCGATAATACTGTTTAAAATTTTGTAATATGATCGTGGGTCCTTTTTATGGTCAAGAAGTTTGTCAATTTGGTTTTGTATGTGTCTATTTTTAAGTCTTTGGTTTGTCTCTGTGGTCTTGTTTCGCTGTCGTCTCCATCGTTCCCAGTCATCGTCCGTGTTACGTCTTTTTGCTATGTTGAAAAGCCTATTCCGCTTGCGTATTTCTCGTTTAAGTTCAATGGTAAGCCATGGTTTGTCGTGAGATTTTATTGTAATTTTCCGACTTGGAATGGCTGCTTTGGCTGCAGTTAATAGAGCGTCAGTCAAGTTATATGCTGCGTCGTCCAAGTCACAGTCCAAAAGTCTGTCCCAGTCAGTGTCCATCAAAAGTCGTGTCAGTTTGTCTGCGTCCATATGTCTGTAGTCCCATAGTTTAATGGAATATGTTACGCTGGAGGGGCGACTTATGTTAAGACAGGCAAATTACATGAGGGTTTCGGCGACCATTAGTTTGGAATGCCATCTTCCATATTTGAGTGGGGATGGTGCATACTGCACACTGCACACGCTCCGAGTCTAATCGATGAGTTGCGCTAACAGATAGCATCTGTCGATATGAGAGCTACAAGCATTCACGACATCTTCAACTTGACATCGCTGGAACTCTTACATTGAGACCAATAGTACTAACATTGCCGAAAGAAAAGAACTATCAACAGCGGATAAGGATGTCTGAGCAGTTTTTCGCCGGTAGGTATATTTCGCTCACAGGACAGTTCTATGAGCGTCAATACAAAAAGAAAAAAAAGATAAGTTATGGACGACTTACTGGATTAAGAAGGCAAAGTGACCATGAAATCTTGGATAAAAACATAGTCGGGCTAGCCTTCTATCATGAAACGCGTAAGGTCATGTTCTATGGCAGATTACCAGCAATGGTTGTCTGAATCCATTGGTAAACACTCGCCCATAAATACATACACGGCCCCCAGAGGGATGGACCCTCAGGTAGGTAGTGCAGGCTTTCAGGACAGTTGTACTGCCCTGTTCACCTGCGCTCACCCCTTCCCCTGCCGCCCGCTTGTTCTGGCACTCACCTGCAGATGATGGCCACGGTGAGTACTGCTGAGCTGAGCAGCTTGGGGTGCGAGGCGGCGAACAGGCCGTAGGTGTAGTACATCTGGGCCACGCGGCCCGGCAGGCCGGTGGCGCCGCCGGTGACGTCCTCGCCCGGCGGCAGCATGGTGTCGCCCGCACCGCCGCCTGCAAAAGCCAGGCGGAGAGACACCGGGTTAGGGGGAACATCCTTAGGGTAGTTAGAACTCATATAGCGCCGCTCGCACTGCCGCCTGAAAAAGCCAGGCGGCGACACCGGGTTAGGGGGAAACATCTCAGAGGAGAACACTAACTCGGCGCTGCCCGCACTGCCGCCTGCAGCAGCCGCCGGACGGAGAGACACCAGGTCAGGGAAGACCATTTCAGGAGAGAACAGTCACTCAGCGCCGTCCGCACCGCCGCCTGTAGGCGCCGAACGGACGGTGAGACACCGGGTCATGGAGGAACACGTTCCAGGGAAGAATGCAAACTCAGTAAACGGTAAATGGCCACAGGTCGCAAGGCATCCGAACTACATAGCTCTGCCAATTTTTCCTTTGAACGCTCTGTCTGGTTGATAGAACCTTGGTCGGTAGGTGTGCACACATGCTTTGAAAAGTGGATTAATTTTGGCAGAAATCAGCATACAACTTTTTTATAAATTTAGTCCGAACCTTTTGAATGGAAGGATTCACAAGGACAGAGCCCCCGCTAAGCGAAGCTTGTTGCATTGGCCCTGCCCTCTACCTTCCGATTGTGCAATTCCGGTTCTATGGCAGAATTTGGAGTCGAAAGTTTAACGTGCGCAACTGCGCACATAGCCGCTCACGGCCGGTCCCCTCACTGACTTCGCCTGGCTACGGCCTGCCACCAACCGCAACCATGCCTGTCAGGAGACCCATAAATGCCAAGCGCCCGTCGCGCTTCGAACCCGGACTGTTGTAACCGAGCGCATGCTCTCACCACGCGGAGTAACGCTCTACCGACTGAGCTACGGGAACTTCCTGAACATTCCTACTAAAATTTCAGCACAAAATCACTAGCACCAAACTTGAGCACATGCAAGGCCCTAAATACAAGCACATGAAAATATCACAGACATCCAGCATAATACTCATAGGTGGTGGACAGGGGGGGGGGGGGGCACCGGGGCACAGTGCAGTGCCCCCCCCCCCCTTGCTTTTTGGCATTTTAACATTAGCCCTATGGGCATTGCATGGAAAAAAATGGTACCAAAAGTCGGTGGTGCCACCCCCATAATTGAAGGTGTTATGCCGCCACTGATAATACTTATATTTAATTATACTTATAGTATACTGAATTTAGGAAGGCCTTTTGGCCTCTTGGATCCGCACATGATGAGCTACATGTCACTGCATCAGTCGTTGATCATCTGCATCGCCGGTCCCGTAGCTCAGTTGGTAGAGCATTGGACTCCGCGTGGTGAGAGCACGCGTTCCCGGTTACAACAGTCCGGGTTCGAAGCGCGACGGGCGCTTGACATTTATGTACCTCCTGACAGGTATGGTTGCGGTTGGTGGCAGGCCATAGCCAGGCGAAGTCAGTGAGGGAACCGGCCGTGCGCGGCTGTGTGCGCACATTAAACTTTGGACTCTAAATTCTGCCATAGAACTGGAATTGCGCGATCGGAGGGTAGAAGGCAGGGTCACCGCAACAAGCTTCGCTTAGCAGTGGCTCTGTCCTTGTGCAGCATCCTTCCTATTAAAAGGTTCAGACTAAATTTATAAAAAAAAGTTGAATTGTAAGGTGTACATAGTGAGTGCCCAGCCCCAGTGTTCGTCAAGCCTGGCCTTGAAGCTGTCGACAGAGGGTGCATAGACCACAGCAGAGGACAGAGTTCCAGTCATTCAGGTCTCAGGAATTGTATGCTGAAGGCGTTCCACCTCACTCTGGAGACAGCTCTTGGCTTAAACCTCTTCCACTCTGACTCATGCCCTTGGGTTCTGGTTCAGTCGGGGAAACTATGGTAAAATCTGCTATTTTTAGCAGTCTGCTATTTTTAGCAGAAATCTGCTAAAAATGGGTACGCATGTGACGTCATCGTACCCAAATATAGCAGATTTGGGTACGGCCCCATACAAAAGCAGATCTGCACCCTAATTGAAGCAAATGCGCATCAAATGCCTGGCAGATTCATGATGAGAATAGTGCTGAGAATGTCCTCTGATATTTTTGTTCAGATCCGACTATTTTCAAATAATGAATTTGAAAAAAGTCGGATCTGAACAAAAATAGCAGAGATCACTCTCAGCACTATTCTCATCATGAATCTGCCAGGCATTTGATGCGCATTTGCTTCAATTAGGGTGCAGATCTGCTTTTGTATGGGGCCGTACCCAAATCTGCTATATTTGGGTACGATGACGTCACATGCGTACCCATTTTTAACAGATTTCTGCTAAAAATAGCAGACTGCTAAAAATAGCAGATTTTGCCATAGTTTCCCCGACTGGGTTGTTGTTGCTGCATTGAAGAACTGAGATGGGTTCACATCTACTCTGTCAAAGCAAAGCACCTGGTAGACAGAGATCATGTCGCCTCATCTGCATCGATAGTAGAGCGATGGCAAGTCCATGCTCCAATGGATGTGGAACCCGACAATACAAGGCACAAAGCGAATTTACAAGGTTAAGACTTCAGCTGAGCCTGAGTCAACCAAGGGAAACTACCAAACTTGCTAGGTATGTTTCAACACCTCAACCCACCTGTAACGGGCAGAAGAGCTTGAATGAAGAATGCAGGTAAATGCAATGCTTGTATTATGTTGAATTGTAATATTATCTCAATTACTGTCTGACCCTAGCATTCTTTAACATTGCATATTGATATCAGCTTATAGTAGTAGGGATGTATCTATATCATTCAGTCGTAATCAAGGGAATCTAAACCTGCAATCAATCATCACGCCCACCCGCAATCTGAATCCAAGGCCGTATAAGAGTCTGAATCTGACTTCGGCAAAGTCTCATACACAAATCGGCAAAATCGCTTGGCAGAAATTCGTAAAATCGCCGATAGTGTTCTATGTGCTGCATGACGTTTGTCAGCGCAGTGGGCGAGTTCACATTTAGTGATGTCAATCTACCATGTATGTGATTTTGTATATTTTAAAAGCCGAATGTGAGTGAAAAAGTGACAGTTTATTGGAAACTTATTCAGCTAAGGAGTTCAATTCTCTAAAAATTTGCGGTTAAACAGCTGGTTTAAATGTTTTCTCAAATTATTGAAATTAATTATTTCTTTAATTAGCATCTCTACAATTAAGGCCTGAAAGGCTGCTGCTGATAGCAGTGAATGGTGGCTTATGAACAACTCGTAAGCAGTAATGTGGGACACTGCTTCTGTCGCAGCTGCGTTGAGTTCGCTTTTCTCTTTTTATCATTTTTATCGATTACTCACCGAATTAAGCATGACTTTCTTCTTTTAAATTATTTTAATTTTGCTTTTCCTGATTGCAAATTTATTCCCACTGCCCACTTTCTTCTTTCGTTCTAAGTTGATGTTACCAAATTGCTTTTTGAATCCAAGAATTTGGGAAAAGCGAAATATTTCGTCCTATCGGTATGATTTGTTTGTATTTATTCACTACTATTCTGCAGTCAACTGTTGTGTATTTGGTGTGTACCGTTTTGCGTTTGCGGTTATCCATTTCTTAGCATAGTTTTAGAAAGTGGGCGTACAATTATGCTTGTTAACCGTTGTTAATTGTTATGTTAATCAATGACGAAAGCTTGTGATCCAGCTTTCACTCACAGAAGACTAAGATGATTGACAAGTCCTTCACATGAATATCGCAAATGGGCGGTTAATCTGGTGATTCCAAGAAGCCCTCCAAAACTGAAGGTAGGTGGAGCTCTTTTTTACCGTTCACCTTACGCAATGTCGAGATGAAAAAAAAATCATTTAGAGGCCAGGGTTACCAACAGAAAAATGGCCGCCTGCTGGAACTTTTTGGTGAGAGACCGCTTCACATACGGAGCATAAACGTGACGTGCACTTAAATTGATAGGGCTTTATTGTTAAAGCTCTGTATGTGAAGCAGTCTTAAAACAAAAATTCTGGCAGGTAGCTATTTTTCCGTTGGTAAAACTGGCCTCGGTTTACGGATATGCCCAAACTTTCAGCCTATAATGCTACCAGACAACACGTTCCCTCAGTGGCCGAGTGGATTAAAGTGCCAGAATTCGCCGCTTAGCTGGAAGTGAGAGCCTGGTTCAAGCCCCGGTGCAGGCGTCCACATTTAGCTCTCATGTGTAATGGCTTGCGTGTTTGTGGCAGGGGCCGCACAGAAGCCAGGTAACGTGAGGACATGCTGGGCACACTAAGGCTCCGATGTGCCAGCTGTATTAACCTGTCAATGTCTTTGCTTACTTAACTATTGTATGTGTCTGTACCTAAACCATGTTTGAACTGAATGAAAAATCCCTTGGCCATAAAGGTCACTTGGCCCAGGGATCACACTCTCATTGATCTTTTTATGGGAGATAGGCTGGATTCTTAGAAGTTGTAAATGTCAAATATCATGCTACTGCATTCTGATCTTGATCGTGATCCTGAGTAGGTGTCTATTGCAATTTGTCCCTTGAGGTCTCAATTTGATCCATGGACTGAGTTGCTACTTTCTACCTCAGATATTTGCTAAAGAGCTCCAAAGTCAAGTTTTTGATAATATATGTTCCATGCATTCTGTTCATGAAGCTTATGGCCCTCAGTGTCCCAAGTTTGAACCTCTGGTTTGCTTCATGTTGTCCCATGTAAGGAGTGCTACAGAGTACAGGTGATGATAACAGAGCTAAGCATCTGTGGAGCAACTGATACTCTGTTACCTAAATGTCCACCTGATAAACTGTGAAATATCATGCTGCAGCTCTGGTAGTATCAAGGCTATATAAACCAGGTAGAACGCTCCGGGAAAAAAGTTGGAAACAATAAATTAGTTGCGGCATTCCCTGATGACGCGAATGTGGGTCAGCGGCCGGCGGCCGGCGGCCGCTAACACTGTATGAGGATGAATGCACGGAACTTTTGCATGTTGGAGATTGCGCTAGGCAGTTAAATGTTAATGTTAGGATATGTTTCGAAAGTAAATTGAACGACGCTTCGAACGCCGTCAATGAATTTGCGATACGACGACTATTTGTTTAGTTAGAGCCGGCGAACTTTTACCTTCCGACCGCGCGGGGAGGCGATATGGTGCCGATGGTGCCACACTGACGGTTTTTACGACAGCTCAAAATTCTTTTGAGCTAAAGAGCTGAAATTTGACATGTCCAATCTTTTGATCAAGCTGGATCTTCTGGTACAAGTCGCATATTTAAGGTACGTAAGGTTGTTGAGCTAAGTTGTCGCTCGTGAGCCTCTACATAGTCCAAAAACAACGCAATTTCTAAGCACTCAGTGCCAAGAAATCCTTCACAGAAAGATGATACTTGGCGGTAAGAATGGCTGTCGGTTTCTTAGCGTTCGTATGTATCGTGTTTTCACAAGAGTTTAGTAAGGTCAGGTCCCTCACGTCACCTCCCCTCATAACTCAATAGGACTAGGTGTACTATCATAGAAGCGTTTAGCGTTTATCAATCGCCGGAAATCTTAGCCAATCCCACTGGACACTGGATCCATACCCACATGGGGCCCTCCTGACTGGCCACTCCCTCTGAAATCCACAATAACATTGGGCTGCGGCCATGGTTATGTATTAATGCTTTTCACTAACAGAAATACAACAACTTCAACCAGCACAATGCACGCCGCCACAACAGTCCGACCAACGTCCCTGATATCGACTAGCACTCGGCCGGATGCACATATGCGGAGCCAATTAGTCCGAATGTGACCTGCAGCTTACAATTGCTGTGTCGCATGGCGCGTGGCACAGGACGATTCCTAGCACCTGTCGGCTGGAGTGGAGAAACAGCACGTTGCGACACACCGCGCCGGCGACAGAGCTCAGCAGGGCTGGTTGGAGGCTGGAGACGGAGGTAAGGGCGGACACAGGCACAGACATTGCAGGACAAATAACAGGATGTCAGTTAGGGATATTGTTGGCGCCGTTGTCGCCTGGCGATGCTAACTTTTAGTTGTCTGGGCGTTTGACAGATGGCGGTGTGGTTTTCGGTTGCCCATTTGTTATCGATTTATTGATATGTTTATTTTATGGTTTGGTGCCTTGTTTCTTTTGGTTTATTTTAGGTATCGGTTTGTAATTTAGTTTTGTATTGTGTTTCGCGGTCATAAGTTATTTGGGTTTTGTTCGATGTACCGTTTTGTTGGTACTGACCGGTGACCTCTACGGTCACGTGACCCGCCACGTCACCCTGCTGGGTCAGCGGAGGGGCGGCCGGCGGGGCAGCGCCCATTCTTGGTTGGCCTGTCGCGGCGGCGTTAGCGTGCCGCGCATCGGTTTGGTTTGGGGTCGTGTTTGGCTTGGTTCAGCCGTTCGACGTGAGAGCACAAGGGCGCACCGTGTAGGTGAGTGAGCGATTTTGACCTCGGAAATTAGTTCATGTTGGTGAGATTGTTTGCCGATTTTGTTTTCTTTGCTTTGTTGTGTCTGCGTATTCGTTTGGTTGGTGTGCATTTGGTCATATGTTAAGTTTCCTTTGTTTCGATTCCAGAAACCGCTACGCTTTGTTCCGTTCTGTTTGCTGCTCTACGAGCAATATATGGTCAGCACAGGCGGAGAGCGCGTTTCACTACCGGTCGGCGCGAGATCCGGGGCACTGAGGTCGTCGGCGGCTACAGTTTCTACACGCGCCAGTTTCTGCGCGAGCCATCTGCGCTCGCTGGCTGGTCTTCGGCTGCTCGGCGCCAGCTTCTGTGCGCGCCGACTGGATCTTCGGGAGCGCGCAGTTTCTGCGCGCCGGCTGGATCTTTGGACGCGCGCAGTTTCTGCGCGCGCTGGCTGCGCTATCGGCGCTGTCCTACGGACGCGCGCAGCTTCTACCAGCTTCTACGGTCTGCAGTGGCTACAGTGTTTCGCCCTGCAGCAGAGCTCGACACGTGCCGACTGCCGGGCCTCTGCGCGTGTTTCAACGTGCTGAGTTTCTGCGTGAGCTAACGTGCGCAGAGTCAGAGTCGGTAAGTGATCTGGGTCTGGTTTGGTATGACCGTGGGTTTGGTTTGGTTTGACTCACCTCTGTGAGTTTGGACCTGTGAGTACCTACTGCTCGCGGGTAGTTTGGCCTTGAACCGGGGGCAGTTTGGCCTTGAACTTTGGACTTGGACTCGCGCCAACTCGCTCTTCCTGGGTTGGCTGTGTGCCAGGATTGGACTCAGTCTGGCTCAGTCACAGTGGTATCAGTGAACTTTGGCTCAAGTAAGGAATTTGAGTGCTCTTCAGGGGGAACATCAGTGGGGCTGTTGGGGTTAGCTTTAAGGTGTTACTGTGTCACGCATTTGTGTGTTTAGTGTGTGTTGTTGTTGTTAGTCTGTGTGATGCATTATTAGGGTAAGGTAGCTAAATGGCATCAAGGGAGGAGCTCTCCAAGCTCAAGTCTTCAGAGTTAGTGGAGGAGCTCAGCTCTAGGGGGCTTTCGACTTTGGGTAAAAAGGCGGAGCTTGTTGATAGGCTGTGGAATGTTGTCAAGCCTGTTGATGATGAGCATGATAGTGTAGACAGGGACATGTCTCAGTTAAAGGGAGATGTAAATCAGGAACAGGTCAGGATGGCAGCAGGTCAGTTGGATAGCAATACTTTGTCTCAAAATCTGTCAGGTTCTGGCTCGGAAGCGTCTCAGTTGCTCATTGCAAAGTTGAGGAATTTGAAAGAGATGGAACAACTTGAGGAACAGGAACTTAGGATTAAGATGAGACGTCAGCAGTTAGATATAGAGTTAAAGCTGGCTGAGTTGCCCAGTGGAGAGGTAAGTGAGGAAGTGATTGACTCATTGAGGATCCAGACAGACAACCAGGTGAGATCTCCCCGTTCTGATGAGACATCCGTGCTGAACTCACAGATGCAGAGGATGTTGTTGCCTCCTACTGAGATTGAGAAATTTGATGGTAACGTCATGAAGTACAAACTGTTCATCAGGTCATTTGAGGCTAGAATTGTGTCACGCACGACTGACGATGACGAGCTCTTGCACTACCTTGAGCAGCTGACTGTGGGAAAACCGAGACAGATTGTTAGGAGCTGTATGTATCTGAGTGAGGGTGGTTATGCAGAGGCCCGAAAGCTGTTAGATCAGAGGTATGGCAGCTCACACAGGGTGGTCGATGCATACGTGCAAAGACTGAACGACTGGGGCAGGATCCCTCCAGGTGACGTAGAGGAGTTAGATAGGTTGACCCTGTACCTGACTGAAATCAAACACGCAATGACTGACTTGGACGTTGCAGGTGAGCTTGAACACCCGAGAACCTTGAGAGAGGTGGTTGACAAACTGCCTGGCTACTTGAAGGATAGGTGGATGAGGTTAAGTGATGATATCATGGAAGGTGAAGGGAGGATGGTGAGGTTCAGGGACTTGGTTGATTTTTTGGCCAAGGAAGTGCGCGTTAAGAGAAACCCAGTTTTTGGTAGGTCCTCGGAGAGCAAACAGGCTGCACAGAGGTCAAAGCCACAGGTCTCTGGTCGCATGCAGGCGCAGTGCAGTGCGACTGCAGTAAGCTCAGGATCAGGTGAGAACAGATGCAGGTTCTGTCGAGGTAATCACTTCCTTGATGACTGTCAGGAGCTGAAATGGAGACCGATGGATGAGAGGAAGCAGTTCATTCAGACTCAGAGGTTGTGTTTTGGTTGCTTGCATGAAGGTCACACTGCCAGGTTCTGCAGGAAGCGTAGGAAGTGCAGCATCTGTGGTGGTCTGCATGCTACTCTCCTCCACAGGCAGGGTGAGCAG